GAGGTCAGTGCCCCGCCAAGGCCGCGCGGCCGAGGTCAGTGACCCCGCCAAGGCCGCGCGGCCGAGGTCAATGACTCCGCCAAGGCCGCGCGGCCGAGGTCAGTGACATTACTGTAGTATGTATATAATACATATAATACAATATAAAGTATAATATTATAAATATATAATAAATTATATGTATAATATGTATTATTTAATGTTATATATAATATAAATTACAGTCACGTTATTTTGTTTTTCTACTCTTTCCTGTCACGTGACTTTAGTTACGTTTTTAATTTTCTCTACATATACGACGAACTGTCTCAAAATCGCTTTTCATTATTCACTCTCTCCATCTTACCGATTCGATTCGACTCGATCAACCAACCAACCAATCGGCAACGCGGAAAAGAGGCAACAATAGATGCGATACATTCGGCTCCAAAACGCGCATTTCTCGGTCCAAATGACTTTTTTTATATAGGATAAAAAAAAAGTTGCCAATTAGCAGTAAAAAAGTAACGTTGTAATTATTAAAACAAAGAAAAACCCACGTAAGAGCATTTTTTCGTCAATCTTTTAATCTTGATAAGTTTTTTTCAACGCATCTGTGCTAGTGTACGTTTCATATCGAACAAGCTTCAGTCCAGACAGGATTTCCGGCGCCTAGAAACATAGCAATCCGATTAGCGTACGTGAACTCGGTCGAGACTGCTGTGTGGCGCGAGAAATTGCGAAAACAAAGTTTTATTACGAATAAAAATGTGCTTCTAAAGTTTTCGTTTTTTTTTTTTTTTAGATCCTGGAGAGTCAGTGGATCGGAACCTGGCACAGTTGGAAGGTCAGAAGCATGTGGGTGAAGTGCTTGTCGGTAATCCCGCAGATGTTCATGTTACCATTTATCGGATTTGTCATATTGTTCGCGCCGAACTCAAAACAGGCGAGATTCTTCAAAATCCCGGTTAACAAATTTCTCTCGTCCGTGGCGAACTATTTTATATTTCTCACGTTTGTGTTTCTGCAGTCGCAAAGCGACAAAATCGAACAGCTTCGTGGTCCACCCAATACTGGTGTGCGCCTGATAATTTTTATATAATTTAAAAAACTCGACTTTTCTCTTTCAAATAAATATATTCACAGCAATTTCGTTCTTTTCAGGATACGAAGTGGTTCTCGCTGTCTACGTAATATCGTACATACTTGCGTTCATTCGATTATGCATTACGGACGGTCCGGGCAGATGCTTCAAATCGCGCGCAAACTGGTAAGAATATAGACGACGTTTTGTTTTGCGTAATTTTTATCGAGAATAATTTTAATTTTTACACAAATTCAAAATCCATAAAAAAATGCACGATTTAAATATCTTCAATAAATATGATTCTTGTTGGGCGCGATATATACAGGTATGAGTTTATAATGCTCGTGCTGTTCGTTTTGACGTTTCTCTTCTGGATAGTTGCCGCTTTGGACGTCAGAATAAACGGTCAGCGTGATCTAGAGAGAAAGTATTGGCACAAGTACGATCCGACTTTAATAGCAGAAGGAATATTTTGTCTCGCGGCGATCATGGCGTTCTTTAAACTGTTATTTATCTGCCAGCTGGACTACGATCTCGGACCGTTGCAGCTTTCTTTAATAAAAATGATCAGAGATGTCATGCATTTTGTTGTGATATTCGGTATCATGATTATAGCTTTCACCGTTGGTAAGATACGCAACATTCAATCAAATGTATAAAAAAGCAACGAGCGGACAACAATTTCGTGTGTTTTTCGTTTGCATATATAATTCAACGTCGACGTATAAAAATAATCAACTTGAATCCTTTTTCAGGACTGTGTCATCTTTATCAGTATTATGACGGCATGGTGCAGACGGATGACGAGTCGAAACTGAAGACAGAACAAGAGAGTTCCTTCGTCGACTTCAAGTCCACCTTAAAGACTCTCTTTTGGGCGATTTTTTGCATGAGTCCGGTAGAAAGCGCCGATGTGATAATCGAAAACCTTCCGGGTGAAAGGGAGTCTGAAACAATAATCAATCGTCACAGCTTCACCGAATTTATCGGTTATCTTTCTTTTGGCAGTAAGTGCGCGTGTTTTTCTCTTCGTTCCTCATCAGCTAAATAATATTACTCATAAAATCACTTATAGCCGATGCGAGTCGCATTAATTATCACTTGTTTCGCATTCCCCAGGCTTTCAGTTTATTTCCGTGGTAGTCGTTTTGAATATGCTAATCGCGTGTATGGCGAACACCTTCACCAGAGTGACCGATAACGTCAACATAGAGTGGATTTTTGGCCGAACTGAAGTTAGCGAATTCTCATGCTTGTCATTTCTAAATTTATTTCTTACATTTTTAAATACGTTCTTACGCTCTCTCAGGATTTATAAAAAAAAAAAAAAAATGCAAAATTTTATTTAAATAAAAAAGAGAGAGATAATAAATATTAAAATAATTTATTCAGGCTTATGTTGATTTTATGCTGACGACCACGCTTCCACCTCCATTCTTCATATTCTCGATATTCACGGGGTTAAAGCCGATTATCGAGTACATTAAAGTATTGATTAAGCCACCACCCGGCAAACGAGCACGATGGGACTTTACAAATTGTTGATTCAAAGTCAGAATGAATCTGAGACAAAAAAACACAAAGTAAAAAAAAAAAAAAAAAAAAAAAAAAAAAGAGAAAACGAAAAAAAAAACATATTGCGTGTTAAATGCTTCATTTATTTTATAATACACTTCACACAGGAAGATTTAGAAGAAAAGAAGGACCATCATTTCGCATCGATTATGGCACAACTGGTGCAACGTTATTTCCGTCAGCATAGAGAAGCGGTAGAAGAAACGGACATGCAAAAATTGAGAAAGGAATTGATGGAATTCAGCAATATTCTGAAGGAAGCTCTTAGTCCGTCTTAAGGAACATCTTCGCGCGCGTTCTCTACAATATTATTTCATAATCTTTTATTCATACAGCAGTCAGAAAGCACAACAAGAGACACTCAATCTCTGTGTAATATTCAATTTTTAAGGATTAAAATGTATTTTATTGAGATATATAAAAATAAAGGTAGCTTTTTAGTATGGTAACAGTGTCTTATTGCAAAAATATGCAAAGAAATATTGCTGCATGAACGTTTAATCGAGTTGATTGCGGTTGCGTATTAGCGTATTACTCAGCATAGCCTTGAGATATTATCCGAAGAAAAAACGATGAAATACGCGTTGTGAATATTATACGTGCAAAAAGCGAGATAAAATTAGCAAGTTTACGTCGTTATGCAAAAGCAATTTCTTAGATCGAAAGATAGGTAATTTAATTCGTATGTATTTTTTATTCAAGAAATGTTAAAAACAGAAGGACATCTTCAACGAAGCAGGTGATAGGGGGAGGAGTCGCCTTTGATATCTCCAAGCATCCGTAACACTCATTAATAAATTCATATTTTTTGTTGTTGTTTATACATTAGTTGCTTCTTCATGTTTTCTTTGCTTCATTGTCTGTATTTTCTTTTTTCTTTGCTGGAATAACAAATAATTGTCCTTCAAATTTTAAAAGTTTATTCTTACTTGTACATAAGAACATAATAAAAATAAATATAAAAGTAAACATTAAAAACAATTCAGGACGATAATTACTAATTTTGAGAAATTAGTTTTTTGTTTCTCTTTCTCTCTCTCTCTCTCTCTCTCTCTCTCTCTTTTTTTATCGAAAAATAAACTAAGCCCAAAGAAAACGTTTTTTTTATCCCAAAAACGTGTGCGTTACATCTTCGTGATCTCGTTGCGAAACAGATCTTCTAGGATTCACCTCACGTTCGAGCGACCCTCGGTAATAATTTGCGGACGAACAATGCGTACGGCAATACATTTTACAGGTTCTATGTGTGAGATACTAACGAAGCATATTATGTGTACGTTTGTGTTAACTCCTCCTACAACTACCCTTAATAGACGTGATTGTTTCGTAATTTCTGCTTCTTGTTTCTATGTAATATCCATCCTACATACACACTGTAACCTGCCCTTTACTGATCGAAAGCATCTGTAAATTTGATTCTACGAATGTACGTGTATACGTGTGTGTTCGATCTCTTTCTAAAGTAAAAGTTGTCTAAATATTTACACGACATATATAAGTTTTCTTTTTAGTGTGACGTAAAAACAACTTACTTCTAAAGTTTGTCCGAACATTTTAGCTGTGACCTATGGCCATCAGATAACCGTGGCAACTTACTATCATTTTTTGAGTGTATTTGCACGAAGATATCATTTCGTCCTTTGACATTCTCAGTCACATAGTCTGATTCCCAATCTCACTTTACCTCTGTTTCGGGAGACATTCAATTGAGAATGTCACCCAAGAGAAACTGACTCTTTCTTTCTCTCTTTCTTTCTCTTTTTTTCTCTTAAAGAACTTTTTATATAGAAACAAGGGCGGACAACTAGATGAGATGTGGGTGGGGAGAGGAATAGAAAGAGCTTGTGAGGGTGCGCGCCGCGATGGACCGATGTCGCTGTCAGTTTGCACGCGACTCCCGTGCTATAAACACATGTTGGTGTCTATCATCGAAAAGCAAAATGCTATACCTCCTAAACTGCATAGTAATTTATTAACAACACAATCACGACTCAAGCAACTCAGATATTTCCTGCTAAAAAAATATGTCTGATATACAATATATGTTTGTATTATAGTTTCCCGAATATTTCAAAAGTTAAATATATGTTACTTTGTGATTCTCGTGTATGTGCAAGAGAAAAAAAAAATGATAGATTTGAAAGAAAATTGGGAACTTATTTAAGTGTTGCTGCTGCGGTTAACTACCGCGTGAAATTTTGACAATACAATTTTCCTTGACATCTAATTATCTGAACATCATGAGTTCAATAAACTGTACGATAGTATCTGAACGCGAATAATTTTCAACGAGCAGATTTGAGGAATGGTAGAATAGAATACGAATTGTGCGTTTAAGATAAGAGAAAGAGATCAACGTGGACGGGTGCTTTGAAATGAAAAGTCTGATGACACTCAATTTGAGTCTGTAGTGAACGAGAGAACAAGACAAAGATCGGTGATGCACACAAATCGAATATTCTTTCATTCATGAACCGTATTAGAATAATGAAAAACAAAATTCGAGAAGAACATTTGAAGTCTTAACGGCGCGAGTAGGTAAGAGAAAATTCTGACACGTTTAGTAATTATAAAATAAATATGTGGCAATTTTTTAATTTTTATCATATTTAAACTTATATTAAGAACGATATTTGTGCTTATCTTAAGTGTCTCATTTTGCGTTAAAGGTATTTAAAGTAACCCTCAACATAAGCTATTCCTCGATATATACATATTAAAGTAAAGTGCTTACAAGACGGATATCACGTTCCTCTTAAAGTAAGTTTTCCTACTATCATCAATCTTTCCATGATAGATATGACGCGGGTTATAGATTACACTACGAGAGAGAATTCTATTAATTATACAAATAACGCAAAAGACTCCTGTCTAAAAATATTTCCATTAAGAAATTCGAAATCTGAGGGTGGATTTTTGGTCGAACTGAAATCAGCGAACTCTCATGCTTGTCATTTTTACATTTATTTCTTACACTTTGAAATATGTTCTTACGCTCTCTCAGTTCTTTGTAAAAAACAAAAATGCAAAATCATTTCATTTAAATAAGAGAAAGACGCGTATAAAATAATTTGTTCGGGTTTATGTATAATTAAAATAAAATATATATGTTCTCCATATATTTTTTCAATACGTAAGTAATTGTTAAAGAGAAAAAACAATAGCATAGTTTTTCAAACCAAATGCGAAAGATGCGTGTATTGTTTGATGTTTTTGTGTGCAACTAAAAGAAACGCCGATATTTATGAGGAAAAGAATTCAGCGACTCTGCAAAAGCGGGATTTTTATGTATAAGAGAATGACGAGTCGGAAGTTCTCGTAAACATGCTGTCTACCACACAAAGAATTCCGCGTGTCATAGCATAATAAGGAAGTTGATGATCCCCTTGCGATCTCTGAAAGGTTTTATGCGAAAAGAGCTTACTGTTGTTTGCACGATTTTAATTTTTCACGAAGCAGGATGTTTCCGGAGCGTTAAAAGTATTATAAAAGCAGAGTAAAACTCGTAATTTTATTTGAAAAGAAAGAAAGTTTATTGCAACGTACTTCCCATTTTGCAATAATTTCCCAAATCTTTATAATTAATCACTGAATTAATCAAAAAGTACAAATAACGTATATATATATAACGTACATATATATAATAAAATTTTATTTTTCTAGTGCTTTTTATTTAAAATGCAAATTTTCTTTAAATGAGTATATAGCTCACAGTTTGTTTCTCTTTCAATATCAATTTCAATTCTTCAGATATTTTTGCGGTTTGTTAAAAAAAGTGTTCGATTTCACATCTTATAAGGTTTGCATATAGTTTAGCGTCAAGGACTACTCATTATGGCAGAATTTCTTTACATCTTATAAGGCTTTTGACCCGATGTATTATTGCAGTGTGCCCGACATAAAATTTCATCATAAAATTTCTCGAGCGTTGAAATATAGGAGATATTACTTTGACGAAGAAGAAAAGAAAGAAAAGGAGAACGTTTGCTATTTCACACAAACATTACTCTCTTTCTCTCATAAGCCAAGGAAACTCAATAAATTTTTATATTAAAAGAAAGATTAAATTTATGAAAAAGATTAAAATGCGTCGAATTTCTGTTGCAGTAATCAACAGCGCTTAAACCGACGAGATAAAATGGACGACAGGATTTCTATTTTTCTGGTTGTCATTCTCGCAATTGGCGGTCTAATGATGGTGACAATACTGCTGGCCTGCTACGCGTGTGTCTTTCGCGATTTGTGCTGTCGGTCGGAAAACAGATCCAAAAGGCGGCGCCATCAGAGTTCCCGGCGAGAATGCGATAATCCCAACAAAGCGAGATTAGACACGATACCATTAAACGATTACACGCAAGCGGATAGTATGCCCACCGAGTCCGAAAAGGTTTAAACAAAATCAGAAAGTTAAATGTTGAAAAACTTAAGTACATATTTTTTTCAGCAATATTTTTTATTTATTTTGTAAATATATGTAAATCTATTATATATATATATACATATATAACCACATATATATACATACATACATATATATATACAATATATATATGTTATTAATGTATTGCAAGGTACATGCAATAAAAGATCTGATAGAAATATTCAACATATCAATATAGTCGCTTATAACAACCCTATATCAATCATATCCTCTCTGTCTGTTACACATCTCTTTTCCATTATATTTATATAAAATAAACTTTTATTTATATTTTCTCCCGTTCACGCAGTCAGTCCTTTTTAAATATACCCGTAATGCATGCAACGTACATCTCTTCTGGTAACTTTTTATACGTTATTAATTTAAATTTTGTAGAGCAAAAGACAAAAATCTCTCATTTTGCAACATATGTTATTCAATAATTATCGTCACTATTGCGAATGATGATAAAACACTAATTTATAAATTGAGAAAAAATATGTTATTTGCTTGCAGCTCGTATGCAATTTTAAAGCAAGAAAAATCAAAGAATTCGCTGTAAAGGAATATTCAATATATAATTTTTTAAATATAAATTATATAAACTACTGTGTGATTTTAAAAATATTTTTTAGATGTCAGATACATTGCAAATAAATATCAGGCAATTGGTATCAATTCAACAGAGCTGCCCGGAGGAGTTAAACCGGGATGTCAATTACAGACCTTGAAGCTAGTGTTTGTTCATAACAGGTATATAAAATATACACACACTGTTATATAAATCCCTTCAAAATTTGTACATGATAACTAAAGCAATAACGTCACACACATATTGCATCAATGTAAAAAAATTTAACAAAAAAATTTCTAATATCTCGTATTTGAATCAGTTTTTCGATTTTGATAAAAAAAATCTCGCATCAATTACCAAACACTCAACTGTTACTAATCACTGATTAATAATCAAATAGAACAGTAATCAAATAAAAAAATAAAGAATTGTATTTCTCACTTCATTAAATCTTCCGCATTATTTCTAAATGTCAACATGTGTGTTCTTGATAGACTAAATAATATATATCGTAAGTTTTTTGGAAACTTTGTGCGATGTGTACTTTCTTCGAAGATGTATTCGACTAGCTGATTTGACTATTGAGCTGTTGTAGTACAGAAAGTACCACTTCACGCAGAGTCTGTATGTAGAGAGAAGAAAACAGTAATAAAAAAGCATTAGACAAATAAATATACAATGAAAAAAACCATACAAAACGAGGTTACTATTACCTGAGGTTTACAATGCTCTTCCAGCCAACTGAACACGCAAGCAGATAATTCCGCAAAGTTGGCTACGGAAACATTGCTAAACGTTTGAAAAAGACGATCCATTATTGCCTGGAACTGCAAGAAAATATTATAAGTATTTAGACATTACAACTTACTAGAATCATTTAGTTTACAAAGTAAAAGTAATTTATGTCTTACCACTTGAAATTTCATCTCGTCCGAAATCCGCATTTCCGCGTGTCCCGGTTGTGCCTGATGTGCTTTGACAATTTGCTCGTAATTGGCCTGCATAATGCGTAGCGCGACAACTTCTTTTCTCAGCGCGTTACGCTCCTCCTCCTGCTTCTTTTTCTGCTGCAGGAGAAACTGTATGTAATCGATGGACTTCTGAAGCACCGTAGCCTTGGAGATTTTATAGCCCGAGGAGTCTGTGTGCTGACAAGACGGAACCAAGTCCTGAAGGGAGTCGTAACCCTTCTTGATGGCATCTCGTCGTTTTTGCTCGGCCTGAGTGTGAGCCTCCCTCCTGCGCTCCTTGTAGCTTATAGTGGAGTTTTTGTTATCGCTATCCTCGTCTTCTGAACATTGTATTGCTTATTCGTATTGTTATTGCGCGCCCTTGTTACATCCGATTGAACGAATTGACGGTAAACCATCGTGCGCTTACCTGTATTGTGAGCAGACGAGGAAGGCGTGTTAACCGAACCCGTACTGCCACAACGAGAGAAGGTGTACTTTTCCGTTGGACTGGACGGCTCCAGCTTCATCTCGCTGTCCGATCCTATATTCCCACTGCCAGCACGCATACCCAAGCTAGCTGCTTTCAAATAAGAAAAAATAAAACCAAATATACGTATAAGAAAGATAAATTTACTCTTACATATATATACAATACATAAGCCTCACGTGTGTTGGTCGCATTAATAAAAATCACAGGCGAAAATATCGCAGCAGGTACAGAAACAGTAAACATCGGAAAGAATATTGCCAACATACACTGTGTTAAAAAGGTACATACACACACACAGAGTAGCTTATTATGTAATCAGTAAAATAAATATTTAAAAGAATTATTAATTATATACGTGTATATATATGTGTATATATATTGAATAAACACTGTTTTCATAAGTGCATAGGAAGCGCAATTTACATTACTGTGTTAATATTGTATATTGCGCGTTTATTTGAGATTGGAGCAATATATATCAGCGGTGTTTTATTTTTATCATAACGACTGTTATCCGCAGATAAGGATGTCGCGGTCACGAAAAAGCTATCTCTCTTTTTGTAACAACATACAACATAACATATCGTAAGAATCAAGGATTTCTTCCTTCCCTCGTTTTATTTCTTTACACACTTTCTCTTGAAAGAATTTTCTTTCAGGTAGCACGATGTTCTCAATATCATCGTATACAGAAACGTCGCATATATTGACGACAACGTATCAATATCTGGATTTCTTCTTTCTCTCCAAATCAATAACATTTGCTTTTCAAACGCAGTTTTTACATTTTACAAAACTCCTATGAAATTTCTCTTTCTCGATGAAAATACAATTTCTCTTTCTGTAATTTTTCATTAATTTAAAAAATGACTTAAAAGTTTACACATTGATAGAATAAAAAAGAACAATATCTTATTGATTCCTAATTTAAAAAATATGTATATATGTATATTTAAATGTGTTAGTAAATATTTTTGTTACTATCCAATTCTCTGCGTATGTTTAAAAATATTTAAATTTGCTCTTTTGTTGAATACGTGTAATAATGGAATTTGCGTGAAATATAGCGTACTCGATGCATTACCATAAATATATTGTTATACACAAATAACAAAACAAAATAAAATATACAAGTGTATTACAAATAATAAAACAAAATATATACATAAACATTCTACAAGAGCATGCGCCGTCTGTACGTAAATTTACTACCGAAGCAATTATTTGGTCAGTGGCGTGATAAGTATAAAAGATATTTTGTATTGAAATGTCGTGTTTATTTCACATTAATCAGGTGGGCAATTTTCTGATTGGTTCTGCTGTTATTGTATTATTATGCGTAATATAATATCTTCTATATTTACATCGCGGTCTGTGCGCGGATTTTCGATGTCGGACACATGGTGAAGGGAAGAGGGGGAGGGAGGACGATCATCTGTGCCGTCAGCAGGGAACAATGGCTGCGCTCGGAGAACACAACAATGCCGCACAGAACGTGTTATGATCGATCACGAATGTTTTCACTTCTACAGTCGAGTGGATGTGATTTGAGAGATTGCAATTGGATTGCATTCGATGATTTTTACTTCAGTGGGTTTTTTTCAAGCGCAGCCATCGCTCTCAAGTGTAGAAGGTGCAAAGCAGTGTAATATTACAGACGCAATTTTCGGAAAATCCGTGCGACACAAAACCGTTAAAGAAAAATCGATTCTTCACTCACGTGTCTCATATCCGTCCTTATGAAATGAATCAGCCATGGTTTTTGCGAGCCGATTGTCTTTGATTAAAGGGACAGGGAGTTAAAGCGCGCACATGGACGGTTACAATTGGAAAATGATACTACGGGTGAAATATCGAATGGGATATCTGGACATCACAAATTGGAAAAAATTGAGGATAATTATTGGTACAGGTGCGACGACAAAATTTCGAAAAGTTGAGGAACATTGAATGGCGCCAAGTTTTCCGATCACATCTAAATCACGACACTGCAAACAATTTCGATGTGCCTGTTTCACAACGACGCTTCTGCTCGGTGTCCACCATCTTTGACGGAGATGAAAACACTAGTGATTAGTACTAGCGGCAAAAATAAGAGAGAAGTCTCTCTCTCAGATACTAGTTCTTTCTAGTTTAACATGTCATTTGTATTTTATGTGTATCTATTCAAGATGAGATAAGTAAAACAAATATAACAAAAAATAAAGAAAAATTGAAAGAAAATACAACATAATGTAAACTAAATACAAATTATATTAGTGTGCGAGTTTCTTTATGTTTAAAATTTCATTTTTTTACTCTTTGTTTTTTTTTTTTTTTTTATCTCCTGAATACAAAATATATCTTATTCTTCTCAGAATGTAAAAAAATAAAAGAGAAAGGAGAGTAAGATTTCATTTTTATGTATATTATATATAAAAAAAATTTGTATTTGATATATGTATATTGATGTTTTTATCACTTTCGTGTTAATGCATAACTGCTCTTTTGTTAACATAAATGCCAAAATTTGCACAATAAAATTTAAATACAAATAGAACTAAACTTTACTACTTAACTTTTTAAGTTTTTAAGAGAAAGTTGAAGAGAAACGCGTCAAAATTACATTAGATCTAATGTAGACAAATGATAATTCAATATATTATAACTTTGTGTGTGTAGTTGGATATAATAATAAAATGAATATTCGCAACATTATGTTAAATTATGTTTATTGTAAGGTGTATCTAATATATATATATATATATATATATATGTATATGTATATATATATTTATTTACAATTGTCTTTTAATATACACGTAAAACCATTTAAGATAATATATTTTTCATACACTCTCTTCCGGCGTTACAGCGCTGCCCGTAACGCTCTGGCAAATTGTGTTTCTATATATCGTTTTGTTTTTTTTTTCGTGAAGTGTACACGATTCCGGTTTCATTGGGTATTTGTCTGTTGTCTACCTGAGGCAAGGACTGTCGCTTGCATCATATGCTTGCGGATAACAGGCTTCGGGATGAAGCGGATAATACCGGCAAAATTGTTTTTCTCTCTCTTTCTCTCTCACACAGCTTCTTCCCTCCACTCCTGCAAACACAGCATTCTACCGTCTAGGAAATTAATCTACTCCTAATCGCGGCGTATATCAATTGCTATACTCGATCATACGTCTAACTTAGATCCATATATGTAGCATACAGTTCTACGTTTGTATCGTTTCGGGGACGGATTATGTCGGAAAGCCGAGAAAGAGCGTAAAACTATTTAAAACGACGACAACGTGCGGACATTCTTTGAGATGTCAACGTGTAAAGTGGGTGTAAACGTGAGGTATGTTTAAAGCCGAGTTGTGCACCGACAATAGTTGACCAACTCCGGTTAACATTGACGCACTCGACCACTGTGAGGATTACAATCCTAAGTTCATATTCGTTTTTTTTTTCTTTTAGGGGCCCGAATGACAAGAGACAGTCTATGCAATTTTTATTTTCCGAGGATTTTATCTCTTCCATATGTGCAAGTATACATATATGTATATATGAGAAATCTTCCGCCACTATTTGGACTTTTATAAGCGTTTCGAAATTTCCGACATATGCGATTTAGCTACGCCCGCCCCCGCAATGTGCTATTCAACGTAACATTAAGTGAAGTTTATATGCTTGTTTTGTAGCCAGAAACACCTCACGTGTATTTTTATTTTCGGATAAAGGTCACTTTCCCGCAGTTAAATCGATAAAGCATCACATCTTAAATTCTCAAGTTCAAATTTTAGTATTATTCCATATAATATCTCTCTCATTCTCTCTCACATACATGCACACACATCACACATATGCAACGCGCGTTCTCTCCCCGTTATATACTTATCACACTCTAAGTTACCTCTGTTTTCATCTTTTCTCTAATTTCCCTTTTTTTTTTTTTTTTTTTTTTTTTTGACATCGATAAAAAATTATATATATGTATATATTTATATATCATATATATTTCAATAATTATTTTATCGTTAATTAAAAATTGTTCAATCAATTAATTAATTGTTATAATCTTATTGTTCTTTTATAGTATAAACTAAAGTATTTTGCGTGGTCTACGTATCTCGACAAGTACCACTCATAATATATATACATACATATATAAATATATATGTATATTTTTATAATGTCATTTACTTATTTATCTTTATTTTTCACTTTTTTTTTATAAGTAAAATCATGAATAAATCACAATATTTAACTACACTTTGAGATAAATTGGATGATCGGTGCAAATAAGACCGTTAATTGCTCCTATCCAATAATCATTCCTCCCCGCAAGGTAAAATCGTCAAAGTTCCGGAAATGTCGCAATGTACTCTCAATTGTTGCAATTTACGAACATCGTATGAACGCTCATCACATACTTTTTTTTTTTAAATTATAGTATCCAAATATATATTCTCATAAATATGAAAAAATTTTCGACAATTTTATTAATAACAAAAACTCTTCATTTCCGCATTTTAATGTACAAAAATGGTATGATACCCAATTTGTTATCTAAATAGAATATATCTATAAATAATTGTCTACTTCTCTATTAATATATTGCAATGTGTACACCATCTTATTTAAGTGCTTGCGAATAAGATGGCGCATTCATAAAAATAACTAACACCCCTTTCGGGTGATATTCATCAACATTTTACTCTTTTATAATCTGAACTCGCATCAGACATTTTCTGGTCATCTCGTGTCGTAAGACTGGGACGAAACTTTTTTTTATCGTACAAGTGTTTTTTTGATTTCATCTGACTACGTGAACTCACTCGATCTAAAGAACGCGGTTGAACACAAACTATACTTGTATTATAATCAGACAATTAAAATCTAAAACGGCACATCTCTAAACGTTTGTTTCAATCAATTTTACAAATTGAGCGAGCTTAAATACTCAGGATGAATTGATATGATTATTTAGTGCATTTGTAGTACCTGCGCGAACCAGTCTTAATCAGTCCTCTCAGGTACTTTTTTTTTTAAATCGATCAGCGAAACGAAATTTGCTTGAGGCTAGATTTCAACTTTGTACGCGAGTTACCACAAGCTATGTTGTACAATTTATACACCATAATAAAAATGATAAATAAAATGCACAAAAAAAATTAAATATACAATTTCCTCAAAAAGTTAATTTTGAAACAAATATGCTAATTTTTCTATAGAAGCCAGCATCATGAGATTTAAACAGTTCTCTCTTTCTCTTTTTCTGTCTATTCTCGTATTGTCCTATTCCGCCATACATCAGTAAAAATGCAATGTTTAATTTTTGTTCTAGCAAAGAGAGATGATGTACCATTCCGAAAATCAAGATAAAAACATTTTTAATTGAAGAGCAAAATGAAAGGCGAATATCTCGTCATCTCACTAACGTTGATATTTAAATATTATGTGATATCGTTATTAAATGCATGACAAACGCGATTTGAATCCTCTCTGTTACCTTTGAGTGTACCGCAGCATTAATTGCAAAAGAATTCTAAGAATTCAGAAAAAATTGATCAGACGTTACTTTACGAGCAAAGCGAATGATCTCGGCTAGGCTTCTTTAGAATATTCATATCAACACGCGCCGTGTGTGTCGGCGGTAATAAACTTCGTCCGTGAGATAATCAAAAAATCCACCTTATAACTGTAATCTCTACACTCGCGGCAATCAATTACGGTTAGAATTTCCAAAACGAGGTTCGTTGCGCGAAATGCAGGACGTTCAGTGAGGAATTTTGTACTTTTCTAAGATCATATCGGCTTGCTGGCATAAAGAAACGCGCGTAAACCATTATTAGAAAGTCTCCCATCTTCGGAAACCTATTGGAGAGACTGATTGAACAGATATTTGTACCATGATCAGTGTTATCAATTTATATTTTTGAGCGCTTGGCCTGACGAGACTTGGCAGTGCGACGTGATTTTTTCGCGGCATCGCTCGAAGTTTCCTCTACGGTAGTGGATTTCCGTTTGAAGGATATTGAAGGCACAGGAGCCTTTGGGGGTGCCATTTCCGTCGGCGTCGACGTGGATTGCGTAACTATGGGTTGCAGTGCCACCTCGGTAGGTCTGTGAGCATCCGGGATGGGAATAAAATCGTGCTCCTCACCAAGCGCATTCGACAACACTCCCTGATTGGCTAAAGCGTGCAGATCTTCCGTAGGAACTGGCATTGACTGGCCACAGCCTACGCACACTGGTATTGCTGGTGACTTGGATCGCCAATACTGTAACTCGGTTTTGCATTTGTTCAATTCCTAAAAAAAAAAAAGACAATTTATAAGTGTTTTTTAAACAAAATATTCTTCTTGTATTTGCATTTAAGAGATCATAAGAGTAAACCATGTTTAAATACAAACTATTCCATCTTCGATTAGATACATTTTTGTAAAAATACCTGTAGGAGTGTGCTGAATTTTCGCGATGTCTCTTCATTTTTCTTATCATTGTCATCCAGTCGAGTGGCGTACTCGAGAATCTGTTTCTGTTGTTCTGCAATTTTTGCCTTGCAACTTCTCAAATCCCTGCGCATTAATGTCAGCTGATTGTTGTATCGTCTCATGCCCTGTTTGATTTTGCGAATCCGTTTTCGCAAGACCATATTTGATTGCGGTGGCGACACATTAGAATCCAAGAGAGCAGGATCGTCTGACGGAGAACCCTCTTCTTCACCAGTATCGCCCGTTTTTCCACCGCTGACGGTCAAAGGCGCAGAATCCAAGCGCATAAATGATTTACTTACACTAGAAGAAGCTACAACACAACAGTTATTTTTAATAAAACCAGAAAAACAATGTTAAACATATCAGCAATTTCACTCACAAGAAAACGTTCCTGCAAGATCGAGAAAATCAGCACCAAAGTACGGTATTTCCGGTAATGTCGGTTCGATGTGTTCTTTGAAGTATTCCATGGCCATAGTACTTAGATCAAACAATTCGTCAGTAACCTTGTAAGGTTTCGATAATTTTGGAGTAACTTTTATATAATGTAAGATGCGATAAACTTCGTCTAGTATCTGAAAAATCATGTTAACATTAATTGAAGGTTTTCTATAATCATCTTTTAAACATTTCTTGCACTTACTTCACCCGGGAAGAAGCAACAGTGCTTTCGCTCGATATGCTTGCCGAAGCTCATTTGTAATAAGGTAAGTCGCATGTGCAAAGTCTCTATGATGTCCGACTCGCATGCCAACGGATGAGTACGACGCGCGGATTCACGTCTGGGCATTTGCGCTTTGATAGCCTGAAAACGGCTCAGCATTTGACCTTGTAGCTTTTGAAATGTCCAGTTTAGTATTGATCCGCAAATGCGATCAAATTGATGACAAACCTACAATAAAACAAAAAATTGCTTGATCATACATTTGCTTACCGAGCGATATAATCAAGAAAGATATCGAATAAAAATATTAGCAACTGCATTTAAACCTGACTTACCAAGCGCATATGAGCCACTGTATTGTAATCTAAATAATTAAAGATTTTTTGCAGAATTTCGAGAGGTAAATCCAAGAGATTTACATTGCGCACTTCAATGGATTTTCCATTAGATGTACTGGACGTGCTTGCTGATGGCTGTTGTTTCTTTAAGGAACTTGTTTCTACAACTTCACTCACTGATCCACCACTGCTGCTGCTGCTGCTGCTTCCCATGTTACTTGACTGACGAGTTGATACCATTTTGTTGCTTTTCAACAAGTTTCAGTAACTGTACTCAAAATCTAAAGTAATTCAAACAAGTTTTTCTCCAGAATAACGCACATCAAAAGTAAGTAACAAAATGAGAAAAAAATATGTATATACATACACATAAATAGAAAAAAAGAAAACTATATACACACATATACACCATTGGATAAAAAACATTAAGTAGAAAATTAGTCAGGTAGACAAATAAAAATTTCAAATGTTATTAATTTCACATATTTTTAACATTTTTCTTTAATTTCTTTAATTTAATCCTTGATTTACAATTAAAAAACAAATTTATGAAATTTAAAACAATAAAATTATTATTTGAATAGAAATACATGTTTCTGAATAGTGTCATTTTATATATAAAAAATAATTTTTTGTGTTTATATAAAAACATTTCCTCTCCCAAAAGAATGTGAAATGAGAAGAAATTAATTTTAACAGCAATCTGTTTTAATTATTTCCAAGAAATTTGTGAAATGTTTCTTCTTTCTGCAGAAGTTGTTCAATTTGACCGTAATAAGTCACTGAACTTGCTGTTATCAGATCTAGAGACTATACACAAACATGTAGCAGATAAGCCAATATTCAGAAAAACGCAAATTGAACGTAATTATCTACCTAAAACAGACAAAAAGCCAGAAAGTTTGCACGAAATAATTACATCTCTGACTGAATTAGTTGGAACAATGATTCTTACGTGAGAAAACCGATTGTGCTTTGTTACAGGATTCGTTTTTAATAAAGCATCGCGACCGTTTCGCCTTCAGCATAAAATTATTATTCATAATAACTGTACTCGAAACGAGCAAGCTATCGCAATAATATCGCGAAAACGATTTGTGCGAATCACCTGCTCGTTACGAATGTTCCGGTCTGGTGTGTGTGAGCATATTTCAACCTTGTACTAGAATATACATGTTCCAATCGAAAATGAGATTGGAAGAGTCAACTCTTCGCGCACACGATCCGACACGCTCGGAACATTTCGACCGGTAATGCGTGATCGAAGAACATTCGGTAAACATTGAATTGAAATTCGATAAACAACGGCAAACACTTTAAAAAGCAACATCACGTAAACAAAGACATTTAAAAAAAATGGTCACTCGTGAATGTTCACTATACTGATCATCGCGCGTTCGAATCGACATTTCCCGAGCTCCAAATCGCTCCGACGTTGTTTCGATCTTGGTTGATCAGGTTTTTTTTTTTTTTTATCCTCGATCAATTTTTTTAAGCAGCCACTGTGAGGATAGACAATCAGTTGTCGATGTTAATTTGCTGATGCGGTGAACAAACGATTCCGATTAGTCACATGCTTTGTGTAAAGCTCGCATATCGCAAACAGAGATCTAACGAGGAGCGATGCGGCTAAGATCGCGGTTAATTATCCAGATCGTATCGGTGCAAGGCGACATTAACGGTCACGAGAAGATGTTTGCGAAGGGTCGAGGGGGGGTACAACATAAAGAAAGAGAGAAAGAGAAAGAGAATGAGAAAGAGAGAGAGAGAGAGACCGAGTTGCAACGAACAAAAGGTCGGAGTCGAGGGACAGGTTGCGACCAGCCGTCTTTTTTTTTTTTTCTTTTTTTTTGTACTATAAATGCGAAAAAATCATACATCTTGTATGTAAGCGGAACGGCTGTTCCCTGATTGCCAGTACCTGGAGTGTATCGGCGTCAGGAAAACGATCCCCGAGGTATATCTCTCGATCGCCGAGGTATCTTTCCCGGCTATCGCTCGTAGAGAACAGCGGGGTTCGCGGCCTGAACCGAAGAGGTATGATCTTTTTGCCCGCCACCGAAGATGAGAGAGAAACGACGACCGAGACGACGACGACGACGACGAGACGTGTAGGGAAACAAATGCGGGGAAACAAACCGAGTGACCGTGCGCGAGTAAAATCGATGCACTCGCGATCTTCTCTTTCTCCGTTGCAACCGTATAGCTGGTCGTTGAGAGCGAGATCGGAAAGAAGAGAAAGAGAGTGAAAGAGAGCGAGAGGCTTGAGAACTTGAAGGGAGACGATGTGCCCCCCGAGTTAGGCAAGCGGCAACGATCACTGTATCCGCGTTGGCGTTTTCAGCGACATTTTGACGGAGAGACTTCCCCCCGTCTCGCTACTCCCCGCTGCCGTGTTCGTTCTCGCTTCGTTTCACTATCGAGCCCTCTCCTGCGCGCTCTCTCTCTCTCTCTCTCTCTCTCTCTTTCCCTCTTTGTCGATCTTCTTTCTCTCGTCCTCTTTCGCTCGCACGTTTACTCTTTCGCGTTTCCTTTCTCTCTCCTCTACGTTCGAAAGGCTCGCGCAATTATGGCGCGCGCAATCACACACATAACCACACAATAACCCGGAAAAAACATTGCGCGTTCAGCACATTTCGATCTCTCTTACCCTATCCTTTTTCACTCGCACTCGCAACTCTTTACCTGCTCTGCCCGTTTAACTATCCTCGTAACGCGCTCTCCTAAGGGTGCCCCCCCGCAGTGTGCGCTGCCGCGATTTCGAGACAGAGCACCGTTTCTCTTTCTCCCCCTCTCAATCTCTCTCTCTCGTTCTCTCTTTCTCTCTCTCTCTCTCTCTCACTCTTGCTCTGTTCCTTTCTCTCTGTCCCTTCAGGAGAGATTGTGGGTATCGAAAATAAACGTTGTCACTGGCTGGCTCCTCGCGCGCACGCAATATCGCGGACAATGGGAAGTACGCGGGATCCACGCGCCGGATTCCGCGTGTGGCGGCCGTTGCTACGCTTCGAAACGGCGTACCGAGGCAACGCCGACGTCGACGCTGACGACGAGCAACGGCAATGCGCACATATGTATGACTGCGACGAGAATACGCTCGCGCGGACACGCGTTGATGCGTGTTGTCCCGCGTGCGAACGTCCACACGAGACACGCGTGCGCCTCTTGATTGGTCGCCGGTCGCGCTTTGGTTAACGTTTCAGGATCCGCGTGAAGATAGCGACACAAGTCGACTCGCGCTTCACATAGGGAGGTTTTCGTTCGCTGTAGTGCCCGCTTGCGTTTGATGCGTGCGACATCTTGATCCGATTTTTTTTTGTTACATTGAAAACGGAACAACGCGAAGTAGAGATCGGCATCGAACAAAAACATCGACGACGGATAAGAATATCGCTAAAGGACGAACATGTCAAGTTGAAAAATGTCAACGATACTCGATTTTGTTACTACTCCAAAAAAACTTTGTCTCCGCAAAACTTGACGAGAAGTTTACAAAACAAGTTTCTCACACATGTATGGGCAAGTAAATTAATTTAATTAATTTAACTTTTAAATAAAATATTTTTACAACAATTGTTTGCAATAATTCGTTTAATGATAAATGAGAAGAAAACGACTATACAATACGTAGATGGAGTTTCCGTATATCACGCGTTTTTTCAAGTGATATTTTTCTCTTATCGCAAGAATGTTAATAAATCTTAATCAATCACCGAACGTGGACGTGTGATTGATCGCTACGGGGCGCAAACAAAATTATTTTGAAATTATTCTTTTATTTGATTTATCTGTGTATATATAATCGACCATATATATATATTAATACATCGTAATAAATCGTTTAAATGTTATATAATACACACTGCGCGGAGTGTGTTATATAAAATTCAAATTACGATGCGTGATAAAAAAAAAAAAAGAAAATAATATACCGGCGCGAAGACATCATGTGAATTTGACTGATCGCGATATTAATTATCGCGCACACAAGCATGAGGATATCGTGTGGCACACGATTTATAATTACTAATTACTAACTTCACCTCTCGTCACTTCTCGTTTGTAACCACCAACTCGTTCGCCAAATGCGAGAAACTACATCACGCACCACACCGATGTATCAACAATCGAAATAGCCACAAATTGCAAACTACATCGTGCGCACATTAGCCACACGATTGTTATCTCAATTTCTGACGTTGTGCAATCGCCGAACAATAGTCGAGCAAGCAAACACTATGCGCCTTCGTCGTTCACTTATGTATTGTTAACCGTGACCAATTGCGCTAATTTTCCAGAATTTTACCAAGCAACCATGATTCGTTCCGTCGTCAAGACATCTGACTGGATTTCCTAAACCTAAACGGCGTGATGTCTCACGTTGCACGTGTGCAAGACCGATTAATTCCTCTGCTCTTCATCGGCTGCGCGAGGCGCTCGCGTGTGTTTGAGAAGTTCGAGTTGCATTTAAAAAGCCAAGGACACCGAACCGAAGAAACTATTTAAATAATGGTTTTGAGTTTAACGCGCGCAACAGCGATCCTCATCGCGTAAGTACAATAATAATATGAACGCGTTTCGCTCCCAACGTGCGTGCGTTTCCCCGTATCTTTTTAACACACGCAGAAAACTTATAAAAATTCCATCTTACGATTTCCAGTGTAAAATCAATGACCGCCTTGAACAATAATCCGTCCTTGCTTTTGTTTTCCATGTGCTATAACGCCAGCAGATTTCTACTATAATATTTATTATTGCGAAACACTTGCGAAATCAGACCTGTTGCCTGCGCTGCTTTCGATTATGAAAAGTTCCTGTGCGTCATTTAGCGCCGCCGCGAAACCCGATCATCGATATTTTCCACAAGAAAAGATCAAAATTTTACTTAACTAACACGACGCTTCATATCGCTCTCTTCTTCTTATTTAAACGACATAAAAAAAAAAATTCACGTAAAACACAATAAGTACTTATCGCAGTGCGCGTAATTTTAGTAGCAAAAGGACATTTTGCGATCGATTATAACATTATGTCACACATACTTGTTGCGTATCTTTCAAATGAGTATACCATATATTTACATACATACCATACAATCGTATTTTAATGCGTCCTATAATCGCAGCTCGTCATTAATGAAATTTGACGATAGAAACGTGGTTACATTTTTTCATATTGATGATAAAAACAGGATGTTATTAATCTTTCAATAGCCAATTTGGAAAATGAGATCGAGAATTGTATAACAAATCAGTCGGGAATTACACGATCGCTAAGAAGAAAACCACAAAGAATTATTTCGCGGAAACGGAAGTTGAAATATTAAAAAGTAAGAATATAAGAAAACTAAGTAACATAAGTTATGTATTAGGTCTACCAGAAAGTTCTGTCCGTTTTTGGAATAAAACAAAATACAAATTTTTCTTATCGTCAATAAACTTTATTAAATAATATAATTGCCATTATTATTAATGATTTCTTGTCAGCGTGAGGGCAATTTGTATATCCCATTTTTGAAAAATTAAGAAAAATTTGTATTTTGTTTTATTCCAAAAACGGACAGACCTTTCCGGTAGACCTAATATTTATCATCACATATTACCCGGATATATTGGACAAATTCCTGCTTGTACTATCAACTAACGTTTAAGATAAAACAAACGTTTACATATAAAAATAGAAAGCAAAATGACTTACAAAATAACTTACAAAACGTACTATAACTACAGTTGTATCGTGTATAGAGAAAAAAAATACAATATGTAATAATTTAAATTAATATAAGAACATACATTATTGTGTGCAAGAAACACGAAAAAGGTGCGATTTATTATCAGCCGCTGATTCGTTAATTTAATGTTCGCGAGATGATTTTTCTTAATTGCTCTTTGATTCTCTTTTTTCGCAGAGTTGGAATCGCCCCTCGTAATCATTACCCTCGACATTAATTTCATGTCATCATGAAGCAAATCGTTTTTCCCTTCCTTCTGTCGACGTGGTCGTGCGGAGTCGATCGCACGCCGCAAAATAGAAGCGACTCTTATTTAACATGGTCGACCGAGCCGGCAGCATTCAGTCTACCACCGGCCGCAAGAGAGCATCGGTATTTCTTGGTTGATTCCTCGACGAGAGTCAGGATTCAGTGAGTTGCCACTAGTGCCTTGGAATTTCATGGTGTAAGCCTGACGGGGTGAACGATCATGGTGTTGCTGTTCTTGCTTATTTCGCTTGGCCTCTTTCTCCTTCCAAGTGAGTCTCCGCTTGAATACTTATTAGCAATCGGATAGGATACATAACTCTTTCGCTCCGGACTTGTCTCAATATTGTCCCTTTTACAAATCTGTTCTTCCTTGGAGTTCGACAGTTTCTTTGTTAAATTGTGTCTCGAATCTCTGAACTAGAGAAGCTGCGCTGTCTCTCTGTCTTACTTGTCATACTTTGTTACTTAACATCGATTATTTTACATTTTACCATTTTGTTATATAGATTATCGTGTAATTTCTTGCAATTATCGTTAATTTATGCGCAATCGTATCGTAAAGTAAGATTGGCGAGAGCGAAGCGTGTTAACTTAAACCGTCATATCATCGTAATATGAGAAGAATAACAAAATTATCCGGAAGATAATGATATTCTAAGAAATTTATATAAAAGTGAGCTCTAAATGTGTAGCGTGATGACAACAGGATGTATCGTAACGTAGAAATCATTAATCGTTATTTTTTAAAGGTAATTTTTCTTATTTTTAGTAATAAAAATTTTAAAAACTTTTTTTAATAATAAAAGGAGATTTTTTTTATTTGTACATAAAAAAACAAAAAAAATAAAAATTAAAAATAGAAACTGTCTGCTCTAGTTTCGATGAAAATCAATGTACGTATAGAGATAGTCGAGTTAAATTTGTAATCAGAGAACATTGTTGCTACGATGAATAATAATATGTATGTGTATTATGAATTAAGAATTTTTTCAAATGTATTGCATAACGCAACATTGTTGCTACAATGAATAACAATATGTATGTGTATTATGAATTAGGAATTTTTAAATATATTGCTTAACGCAACATTGCATGGATGCGCATTGAAATTATCGCCGCGAATGAAAAACAGAGCATCTGGCAAAGAATACAAAAGAGAAGTTAATTAACAATTCCAGCGTTGATTTTCAAATTTATTCTCAATATGTATGTGATCCATTCAATTTAATATTCATATAACAAAGAACGCGATATTGTTTAACAACTCCTCTCACGTCTTTCATATAAGTTTTTCGCATAAATTGTATCCCAAGGTATAAACAAATATATAGGAATGTAGCTAATGATAAGAATAATAATGATATCATACGCACACGCACACGAGCTCGCGGAAGATGAATTTGAAATAATGAATTCTTCGCGTTTAACCGTGTCGGGATTGCGTAGTTTCTGAGATTTAAATTCGCGACATTGCGTTTGTGCGCTTCTGCCTCGGAAAATAAGAAACGTTCCGATGGAAGATTATAGAAGATTCAAGAAAATTTTCTTCCATCGAAAAGGAACATATTTGAAGTTGAACAAAATTGATCCAAAGCCGTTGCAGTTTTCGTAATCTATCGCGCATATCACGAAATGGGTGTTGGTTGGTTTTTTTTCAGATAATTTGATATCACACACACACACGCATCTTTTCTCGTCGTAAATTGATAAAAGTCAAGATCATCCGAATATGATGCACTCTTTAACATTATCGTTTATATATCAATTTTATCCGATTGGCTGTTGTTTTATAAACACATATTTGTTTTATAAATATATATTCAAGACTACAATAAAAGTCTATAATTTAAAAGAAAAGATTCTAAAGAAAAAATTCTGAGTAGTCACATAATCTCCAGTGATTATCGGCTTACGTCGTAAAGCAATTCTGTTTCACTTTTGCCGCGACTATATCGTTAAAACTAAGTCTGTTTGAATTCTAAAAAAAAAAAAAGTGTATCATTCATATGTAGATGTCACCTTATGAAAGACGTTTAATGAATAAGCGAGCGGAACTTGAAAAACTTACTAAAAAACCTTTACTTTGCTTTACTTTAACAAACTTAAAACAAACAAACTTACTAAAACAACATGTTTTACCGAACATTACTTTGCGCTTATGTGATGCAAATTTTCGATAAAGTAAAACTAATTATTCGTCGTTATAAAAAAACAAAAAACTAACTGCGTTTAACGGAAAAAGAAATTTTATCAATAAGAACAAAATCATCTACAATATAATGCACAATTCACCCGATCCTGTCAAATCCAATGTCACAGGCACGAAAATGACAATTCGCATAGACACGTAATATCGATCTCTACGTTATTTTATTCTACAAAATTCATGAATGTGTTATTGTGCCTTCACGCGAATATTCATCGTCCTCCAAGTTAAATATTCGTCAATTATCTATTGTTAGAAAGACTCTATGTACGCAGTAGTCTTTTTCACAAAATTGGTTTGTGACTTAATAAACATTGGTTATCACTCACGTTTTTCTTTCTTACGTCAATATGATACGTGTATTCACGGACGATAGGTAGGTATTCATTCATTCTTTCCGAATATTATTATTTGCGATTAGTTTATTATATCTCAATAAAACGTTTTCATCGATCAACACTGAAGTGCGATCGGAAAAGAAATGTTTACCCCCCTTGTTAGATATAAACCGATATGTTTCCTGTATTACGCGCCTCACGTAATCGCGCAACAATATAGATTTTGCATAATGGAAGGATGGACGTCGAGGATGCTCATCATTCTCAAGACAATCGCTTTAAATCAGCCAAGGAGTTTCAAGCAATGTCCCCGTTGATGGTCCCCGCGTGACCATTTGAACTAAAGCGAAAGTCGAGTGTGTTTCTCGAGCATCATCACTTCGTCGCAAGTGTCGAGCAGATGTGAATCGCAACAACGTAGGATGCCTATACCAAGCGGAAAATCGCACGTTAGAAAAGAATTAATTAAGACCGTTTTCTTACGCATAACGAGCGCATCGGCAATGACTAATTTGTATTTCGAGACGAGGAATTCGAAATGCGCTTTCAACTTCTGAGAAAATTTTCCAACGTATTTCACAGACTGTCTGTTCGTTATCATTTGCTCATAAAGTGTATCATTTACGCACGTGTAAGAGTAAATCCATAGTGTTTTCTTTTACTAACTGCGCCAAGTATTTATTTGAACACATAAACACATTTATAAATTTTCTTGGAGGAAAAATGCTAAGTAATTTAATTATCCACATTATGTACGCGGTTTTTTCTTAAACTTTCTAATTTTCTAATGTGATTCATAAACTTTATTCTAACAAATATTGTTTCGCAGGATTCTGCCTCGGTCATGACTTTAGCTACGACGGGAGTCACGGTAAACAGTTCGAAATTTGCTATTTAAAGTTCAAATTTACACTTATATTTTTATATGTGTGAAACGATCTCTTTCTGTAGGTCCGTCGCACTGGGGCGAGGACTATCACGCGTGCATTGGAAAACACCAATCGCCCATTAACATAGAGGAGCACAATGTCAAGAACGTCAGTCTGCCGCCATTGAAATTGATCGGCATTGACAGTCCGTGCTTGTCGTTTCTGACGAACAATGGTCACACAGGTGAGGATTTCACGGCTCGTCTGATCGCATTCGATACACCGGGAAACATTAGATTTGTCATTTTTTTGACCGATGTCATGTACAGGCTTCTTGCGTCTATCTTTAGATATGGGAAATTTGAGACGTGATCGTGTTCACGAGTACGTGAAGTAAAAAGAAAAGAAAAAAGAACCGTCTCTTCCCAGTGTAATCAGAACGAAACGAAGAAAGAAACGGTGTACCATATGATTACGATTATTGTAGTCTATAAAAAAAAGTCAGGTGAATTGTGTGTGAACGGTGAACGGAGGAAACTTATATATAGCTATATATACAAAAAGTTTGTATGAGCGGTCGTTTCTCAACGGGCATTAAACACGCCGTGAACGAGCTAATCAAGTTAATACGTAATCGGGTTTTAGATGCGCGAAGATACACTTGCTTCTAATACGCAACGTCTCTTACATAAAAAAAGATATACACACTGTAGAGGTTGTGATAATTATCGTTGCCTGTTACAATGTTCTTCTGTTACTGTGTTCTTCCGTTCAGTTATGCTGAAGAGCAACGAATCCGTACGGCCGATGTTAGCGGGAGGACCTTTGGGGAACGGCGTTTATGTGTTCGAGCAATTACACTTCCATTGGGGCGAGAACGATCGCGAGGGATCGGAGGACTTAATTAACAATCGCTCGTTCCCGATGGAAATGCACGCAGTGTTTTACAAGGAGGATTACAAATCGATGAACGAGGCTCTTAAACATTCCGATGGTTTGACCGTTTTAGCGTATTTGTACGAGGTAAAGTGATCATTTTTTGCAGAAATTTTTTATTTTTAAGAGATATATTATTTAATTTTTTTTTTTTTATCAATTTATCTTACGTACTCTTGATCTTGTTTGTTGCATAAAGCAATATCACTCACTTATTGAGGTTTTTCTATTATTATAATTATCATTTAATATATTGTTTTATAATTTCGTATCTCTGTAGAAGAAATAAAAAAAAAAAAGTAATACAATTTTTAGGTAGGTCCTTTATCACATCCGACTTACGAACCCATCGTAGAAATGCTTCCCGACATAGAAACGATGGGTAAAGAAAAAATGTTGGAAGAGCCATTGTTGCTAGGCAGATTACTTGTGCCCGATGTCGCGAGCATGCAGGACTACTTCACATACAACGGTTCGTTGACCACTCCACCTTGTCTCGAAATCGTTACGTGGATTGACTTCAAGGATCGTCAGCAGTTGTCGCATCAACAGGTGTCCTGACACATTTTTGAACATTATACAGCACAATTTATTGCAAATTAATAATCTGCACGAAAAAAAAGATCTGACTCAAGCCGCGCACATGTACATATATATATATATATATTTACTCAAAATTTAACGCTTCTATTTGATTTCAGTTGGCTGCTTTTCGCGACTTGCGCACATCCGACGGTAACAAACTGACCCACAACTTTCGGCCGGTACAGCCTTTGGAAGATCGAATAGTTCTACAGAACATCGATACGAACGCAGTACATCAGAATGACGACGCGTCAAAGAACGTTATTTTCCACAACCATCATTTCGGTGACCATTCTGGACAGCACAATCTTAGAGTGCCATTCTCGATTATCGCATTAGGAGCTTTCTTGGCGATTCTTTTGATCGCTATATGAAGACCTTGATACGACATGTTCTAGTCAGACGTTTTCTTTTTCACAATTGCTGTATCTATTTCTAATCCAAACACACGAAACAAGGAAAATCAAGAAGCTTTACTAAATGGATGTAGTTTTATGAATGTATGTGTTGTGTGTGTGTGTGTTTGAAGATTAAAAGGTAATAATTAACTGCTTGTATGTGACTTTATGAGAAGAGTCAACTATTCGATGCCTGTATTTGAGATATACTGTATGTGATAAAGTATATTTTCAGCAATTATTTATTCTGGAATGTCAATACTGATAATAACACATATAGTAGCTACCATAGCGCACATGTATATACATACTTACTGTGATTGATAGCGATATAATTAGCAACTGAAATGGTTGCCTTGAAATTGATAAAGTTGGATTGCCATCGTTCTTATTCGAGCTCGAATAGACAAATATATCTACTCAAAAGAGCTATATCTCTAATTTGCTTATGTGTCTACTAATGCGTATACATAAAAGAAAGAAAAAATAGAACACGATGTTGTACAAGGAATAACTGATTTTTGAAAATATATATTTTAAGAAAAGTACACATATACAAATATAAATTTCTCATAAAATATTCACATATTGATATAGAAGATTTGCTTATCCCTCAGGCTCGTTTACGTAAGCTGCTAGATTTTGTTGACCCTGTTTGAGACGCATTCTCACTTCTTCCGCTATCGCCTTCTGCGTTCTCCTTTCTAATATCTCTAATTTTTTTGCTATATCTCGCTTCAAATCCCAATCGGGTTTTCTTGGCGCCAAATTGCTTATATCCTAAATAAGCAAATCAAGAACCATTTTTTTTTATGCTTAGCAAAAGAAACCACATTTATTTACTTACTAATTCCTCAACAACCACTTTGCTCTTCGCCGCGTCCAATTGTTCCTTAACTACGGTTTCCACATCTCCGGGTTTTGCATCTTCTATCATGTTACTCTTCAAACCTTCATCCTGCGGCTTGTAACTTCGGAATTTCGGCCTGAAAAATACAAGATTTTGAGCAATTTTGGCGATAATTTGAGGTTAGTTGAAATTAAACGTCGATTAAAGTTGTCTTCAGAATAAGAGATTTATACTTCGGTAACGTTTCGATCATATCCTTTTTATTCTCCTTGGTCTCTTCATTTTTTCTCTTCAACGCCTGAAGTCGCTCCTTTCTCTTTAAAGCTTCTTCCTCCAGTGAACCGACTTTTTCATCTGTCATTTTTAAATTGACTTTCTTCACAACTCAGTTTACAGATGACGCTTGTCTCGGCTATCAGTGTCAGCCAGTTGTGCGCAGAAGAAGTAACTAGTGGTAACTAGACTTTTGACATGCAGAGGTGGAAACAAAAAACTATTTTATGTCAAGTATATAAATAATACTTTTACAAATTTATCGCGTGTGATTATACAACTGGATTTAAACTTTTTTGACATAAAATAAGCTTAAATTCTTTTAAATCTCTATACATATATCTTTCATAAATAATTCTGTTTTACAGGCAAAATTGTTAATTTGTTTTATTGCAAACCATCTTTTTTAAATATCGTTATCAATTCCTGGAAGAAAATAACGACATGCATAAAATACAAACAAGAGAATAGGAAAGACATACAGAGAACTGTTTTTATAGCAAAATAATTAAATAACAAATAAATTTGCGAAAGAGTATTTTAACATTCAGATTTAAAATAACTGCAATTATATCATATTATCCCAATTACAAGAGTCGAAACATTCTTCATCAATTTCAAGTAATTCTTCGAAGTTGCTTTTAGATGTTGATGCTTCCGGATCATTTTCTTGCTTAATAAATTCATTTTCTTGCTTAATAATGTCTTTCATATTTTGGGAATCTTCTTGCTCTTTATCTTGTTGCGATTGCGTTCCTCCAGAGGACGAGGAAGTATTCAGAAAATAAGTTGTCAAATCTTGTTGTCCGGTTTCTTTCTGGATGTCAACGTTATCTATTGACAAATCGTGGTCGAATCCAGCTGCATTCAAAACTTTCATTTTATTCTTAATTAACGGCCATATATAATCGTCTGCAGTGTCTTTCGCTACCAAATATTGGATTATAACTTTGTCATTTTGCCCGATTCTGTGCACTCTGTCTTCTGCCTGACACAAAACCTGTATGTGTAAAATAATTTTGTGTTAAATAAACCTAGTACATATTTAATAATATATATATGTGTGACAAAAACAATAGTTGTAAATCAATAATTTACACCAGGGTTCCAGAATAATTCAGCGAAGACTACTAGACTTGCGGCCGTTAATGTAACGCCAGCATTTGCTGCGGTAATTGACAAAACGGCCGCCAAACAATCATCATTCTCCTGAAATGTATCCACTTCGACTTTTCTTTGCTCTGGAGAGGTTTTGCCATCAATTCTCACATATCTGAAAAAAAATTGTCACAATTTTAACACATTACAGTTGTAAACAAAAATTAAACTACAATGTCGAGTATAGAGATTAAAGAATTATTTAGAAAAGTTTACCGTATGTTCATAGAGTCAGCAACTTTGCAAATGGCATCCAAAACTACTTGATGATGAGCATAAAGAAGACACTTTTTTTTGTCTTCAAATAAATTCGTGACATACTTGCTATAATATTGATGTTAAATTCCACAAAATAATCATAAATTAAACAACTTTTTTTAATAGTAAAAACAGAAAACCATGTGAAAATATATTAATATATATATACCACACTGCCTTTAATCTTGCGAAACCAGACTCATTGTAATACTGCAATAGAGCATTATGCCGTTCTAGGGCTGTGATCTTTTTTTGCAATAGTTTCGACATCTCCTTCATTTGTTTGGTGCCAGCTTTAATTAAATCAGAATCTAACACAACCACTTGTCTAAAATATATGTATGTTTAAAGTAAATACACAAATTCTCTTTAGAGTATGACGTCACAAAACATTAATTTTGTTCCAAAACCTTATTTTAGATGGCAATTGATTTAATACATTAGCTTTTAGCCTTCGAATCATACAAGTAGACTTCAATAGCAATTGCAATTCCTGTAAATTTGAGGAACCAGTAAAGTCCCAACCAAATGTACTTCTTTGTCCTGCGCAGTATCGTATACCATAGTCTTCGTATCTGCAAAGTCATTTTCAGAATTATTAAGCATAATTGCACATGAACATAAAACATACCCACACATAAAGTTCTATTACCTCATAAATCGCGGGGAAATAAGACTGATCTGAGAATGCAATTCGATTGGTCTTGACAGAGCTGGAGTTCCAGTGAGCAGCACAACGTGGCGAGCATGAGTGCATATTTCTTGAGCAGCTTGAAATCTTGCAGTCTTATTGCTCTTCAAGACATGTGATTCATCCTATATATAATTCAATATTAAAATATCACCATTCAGGATAAACTTGATAACAAAAACTTGTATTATGTATTTAATTAATTTATATATACCAAAATAACAAATCCAAAAATATGTTTCTTGAAGGTTTCTATAGCTCGTACTAATAACTCATATGATACAATAGTAATCTTTGCATCTCCGATACAATCTTTTGCATTTAAAAAATGATGAATATAGTGTGCAGGTACAGACGGCAGGAACTCATAAATTGCTTCAGACCACTGATATCTAAACAAGATAAATTTTTAACATACCTATTGCAATAATGTGAAAAATAAATAATGAATACCTGACTGATGAAGGAACCACAATCAAAAGAGGCCAATTCTCTTTAAAATAATGTGCTATGCCTAATGCTTGCATTGTTTTCCCTAAACCCATGTCATCTGCAATCATGCAACGGCCGCTTCTAGATATACCATAGCTAGAATAAATTTATTATTAGAACAAGAGATAAACATATAAACATAATACATGTGGATGATCATATAAAACTAAATTTACCAAACACCATCTTGTTGAAATGGCATTAAATTACTTGTTAATTGTTCATCAATTTTTGACAGATCTGGTGTTGCTATTTGCTTGTCTAATTTTAAGTTTTTTTTAAATATCTAAAATATATATATATATATATAAGTGTTTCAAAGTTTACATGTTCTTTTTATTAGTTAATTTGACAAATTTTGATGTCTATGATTACCTGAAGAATATTCTCTGGTATTTTTGTTACAGATATCCTAGGGTTATGACACATTAGTTTCTGCATCAGAATTTCATAATCATTTATGTGAAAATTCCATATTCTAGTTTTTACATCTGTAAAACATAATACACATAAACATTTACATATAAATTATCATTTAAATCATATACATACCATATACTCTGCTTGGAATTGTTTTAAATGTCTCAATAATTTCAGGTACAAATGTTGATAGTTCTACTGCAAATCTATCATCAGTGGTCATGTAACAATTTCCTGTTACAAGTGTTTTTTTATTAAAGAAGTTTTTTGCTTCAATAGGACTGAAACGATTGCTTGGTCTTTCTTGTCTTATAATATTTGTACTTTCACTGTGTCTGGATTGTTCATGCATTGGACTACTTCTAACTACTGTATTGTCTTTGATATTTCTGTTCTCCTTGTAATTGAATTGATCATGTAATGAATTATTTTTATATGTCTTTTGTGCCCTTAATTGAGCTTCTTTTCTTCTTTGCAATGCTACTAAACGCTTCTTCTCAATTTCTTCAGGAGAGCATGGTTTATCTAAAATATGATCATATTTTACATACATGCGAATTGATTATTTCTCAAACATGAACAACAAACTTATTTTACATATGTATTCAAAAATCTTTACCCATTTTTTCTCCTTTTTCTGCCTTGTGTCACATGTATCGAATATAACCTTCCCTTCTTCTCACGTCATGTAAACAACGTAAAATATAAACACAAAGAAATGACATTAAATTATTACTGTCAATATTTTACGATGTTGAACATAAAAATCTCACACACGTGTCGCTGCTAAATAGTTCTATGTGTTATATATTTGTTTGCGTAAATTTATGTATTGCGCACGTATGTTTTGAAACATCAAAATTGAAGTAAGATCCTAGAATATCTGAAGTTTGGTTTGGTGCAAAAAATGGCTCAGTGGATTGAATTAAGTTAGTCCATACGCCATTTTAGGATAGAATATCTGAAATGTCACGTCAAAATCTAGTAACCATACCCAGAGAAAAGATTGAGAGCCACCGAATTAAAGCTCCGTCGCCACTAAACGTGCAATTTCATGCAGCAAATTTTCGCTGCTGGCGAAGTTCCAACTACGTACACAGGCGACACTGCAACACAGTGTCCATTAGTATGAGAAAGAGGATATCAGTGTGTCTCACTTAACACTACTTGTTAATTGTTTATCAATTTTTGACAGATCTAGTGTTGCTATTTGCTTGTTTAAATTTAAGTTTTTTTTAAATATCTAAAATATGCTGGAAAGCACCCATAATATCATGGTTTTAAATAAAATGCAAGAATTTGGAAATATGAACGAGATAGAACTGTACAAACTGTTAAAGGACTTAAGAATTTTGAAGCAGCATGGCAAGATAGACAACGATGAGAACATCTCACAGCAAAGTGTCAAATGGCGAAATACTTTGGAGTACGATGTTTTGGAAACATGTGTTAGGCATCATAGCAAAGAGGTATGTATTTTTTAATATAAAGTTTTTTTGCAAAACTTTATATTATAAAACTATTTTATTATTCTCGAAGTAATTTATATTTTATACACAATATTTGCTTTAATAATTTATAAAATATTAACGTTGTATAAAGAAAAGGCAAAAGGTTTTTTACATTGTTTACAGTGTAGATTGGAGACATTGGCATTGTTAGTAGAATCGAAGAAAAGCACAATGTATTTTACACGCAAAGAACTTGAGATGATTTTGCTGTTTTTAAAACATAATTTGTGTGAGAAAATGGAATATATACCCTTTATTAAGAAGGTAATAATAATATACAAACCATTCTTCCTCTTTTTCTAGAAAAGTTATATAAATTATTCAATAATATTTATAGGCTTTAAAGCGGCTGAAAGATAGCCTGGCTGTTTTGCAGAGACAATTAACACAAGAAGAAAAACTGAGAAATCATTACAAAGAACATGTTATTTTAGATGATACACATGCTTTGACTTTATCTTGTCAACAAGCTGAACAAATTAAACAGAATATAAAAGATTATACTACATTTTATATAAATCTGCGTGACATTTGTGTAAACAATTTGTATCCGGATGCGACATACAATCGCAGACGTTTCAGCTTACAAATCCTTTTGCTCATGCAACATCTTCTTTGTGATGAATTCAAAGACATTAAATGGAAAAAGAAACAAGCCGAAACAATATTTCAGTGTTTGCTACTGGATACGTATGAACCTAACAAAGAAATGGCATATCAAATATTAAAATCTGTAAATAATTTTGGTAATGTGGATGTGGTAGAAACAGAAGTCAGATATAACTTTAAGGAAAACAATAAGGATATTTGTTTATCAGAGTGTAAAAATCTAACGTTCTTAGACTTGGGTTTGGAGTCTCAAGTTCGATTGATTATCAAAACTGCACTTGCATTAGGCAACAGCATAAGACCTATAGATAGCGTAACAGCTGCGTATATGTTAAAAATATCTAAGTTGTCTCCTGTTATAAAAAATGTTTTGCAAAAGTATAGTAAAGAATGTAGTATAGAGGATAATATTAAGGATGCAGTAACACTGCAACTGGTGTCGCTGCTATATGAAAGATTGCAAGTATGCATATATATAAAAATATAATATCTATTTGAATTAAGAATATACACGTATTTATTCCAAGTACAAATTATTATTCTTATTTGTAGATAGCATTAAGTTTAGCAAAACAGAACATAGGAATGGCAATTGTTAAGTGTTCCTTATACGGGTACTTATTCTGCATGAGGAGTTTGCTTTCTGACTGTGACTTGAGGTAAGATGCGCCGCTTTATTAATTATTCGATTAACAATTAATTCATGTAATTCATATTTCAGTGAAGCAGCAATGGATAAATCGTGGCAAAATATTGTGGCTAATATTATATCGTTGTGCTTCGAGTTGAGCCACGTTGTTTCTGTAATAGTTAACAATTCTTCACCAGAAGGGCACTTGCCAATGGATTTGAAAACATTGAATTTTAACGACAATGTTTTGTTTTCCGAGAAAGAAATTTTAACGCCGCAAATGGTGCTACTTTGTTCTTGGCGTACTGTCAAAGAAGTCAGTCAGTTGTTTGGACTGCTAGCCACCGAGGCGTCGATACAAACTGACAATTCCGCAAACAGTCTGCTAACAGGGGAACAAGTGAGATTTACACATATATTATACATATATTTTTTATGATTATACAGAACTTGATACAAAGACATATGTTAATAGATTGAACGTATAATGAAGCATTTGGTGTCATTGTTGTGTGAAACGAAACATCGAGGTGCTTTCGAACAGGCATACGTTGGTTTTTATCAGTTATGCACACGACTATGGCGATTGACAAATACAACTTTGAATTCACTTCCCATGCATTGTTTGCACGATATTTTGCTAGGTATCACTGGATTAATGCCAGGATATTCGAAATTATGCGCGACGAGAAGAAGCGCGGGTGTTCCATTTATGATACAGGTATGAAAAAAAGTAAAAGATACAAATTATGTAAAAAAAAAAAAATTCAAGAAAGTAATATCAAATTTATCTTTAAACAGGCGGTATTGTCTTCGAAACCGAAAATTCATGATATTACAAAGATATCCGCGTTTCGCTCGGTTATGCAAATCTTACTGCAATTTACGAATCTCGAGAATACAAATAATTTGTTAGGAAAAATAAAGTGTATAATGTACAAAAACACAATATTTTCCAAGTACGAGTATTTATCGGAATCGGTAATGGAAAATAGAAACGAATATTATGCGGACGTCAAGCTTGATGTTACTGAAATAAAGACCCATTCAATGAATATTCTTAGAGCTTTATTCAGACATTCTCAACTTGGAGACGTGGTCAAGGATTACATCGCGGATGGTTTGATAGTGGCATTTAAAAATTATGATAATAAGACATGGGCAGTAAGTGCCACACATATATTTTGTTATATAAAAATATAACAGTTCATTATCACATAGAGAAAATAATTTCTAATCGGAATATATAGGAACGTAACGCGGCCACCTTATTGTTTAGTGCGCTTATAATTCGAGTTTTCGGCGTTCAGAGAACCAAAGATCACATCAACTTGACAACGGATAACAAAATGACGGAGAGAATTTTTTTTGAAAGATATCCCACTCTCTTGCCTTTCATCTTGAACGAATTGCGCAGTTTCGTATCAATCGATGATAGCATAATAAAATCGAACGTGCAAGCAATTTTGTTATTATTGTCACGATTGTATATTACGAATTACCATTTGAACGGAACGGATATCGCTTGGAAGGTATTTATAAACAATCCAGTCTTTCTGCTGTCTATTAAAAACAAACGACGTAATGACAAGTTTGTTTAAAGGTAGATGAATTTGTTAATTTGGTATCGACATGTGCCAAAAGCCCTGTGCAAAAAACGCGTGAACTAGCAGCTAGAGCATTGGTGCCGTTGTTAACGGAAAGCACAGCTCAGAACATTGTAAAGAAGTTATTTCTAAGTATCCTAGCGCAGGATACTCGGCTTTCGGCAAATCTAACACACGGCTATCTATTGCAGGTAAATAAAAAACACTCGAATCTTTTACTCAAACTTTAAAATAAAGATATAAATTACATATAACTGATTATATTGAGTACAACATAATTATAAATTTACATAAGAGTGAAATTTTTTATTTATAAAACTGATTCTTTTTTTAATATCCGTAGATATTAGAGATCTTGACAAGATTGCCGTCCGCTGGCGTTCAACTGTTAAAGTCTGACGTTACAAATTTCTTGAGCGCAGCTGATTGGATATTAAAAGGTTTGGAGAGAAAAAATAATAGATTTTCTTGTTTTCCATTAGCTACCGTATACATCGATATTCTCCATGAATTATACAATTTGAATAAAAACAAGTAAGATAATCAATAAATATTCAACAAATTGTTATATAAATTCCAGAATCTGTCTCTCTCTAATGTAATTTTCGTATTTTCAGAATTGAAAGTTGCAATATGGAGGATATACGATATATCCTGCAACAACACTTAATCGAAGAAGATGTATTAAGGCAAGGACCAGGAGAACAAATGTATAAAATATCTGCTCTCAGATTCATATTTTGCGTCGAAAAACATACAAATTTTTCACAAACAATGTGCAACGGGCAAAGCACGACGTTCAGCATATATTCGCGGCTTTTGATTGCACCAGATGCTGAGATACAAAGTATGGCGTGGAACACCATTTTTGAAATACTAAAAAAAGAATCTTGTCAGCAAAGAAAATTATTGTGCACTCACGCTATTCGCGTAGTTGCCGATTCTATCGAAGACATGTACAAATATAATCCTAAATTGCAAGATGCCATTTTCGATTTTTTATATAACTGTATAACGGATACAAATGTGTGTTGCATCACCGACAAACGTAAAGTTTGTAGTTTAATTCTGAAAAAGTTACATTCGCATGACGCAAGCGATATTTATTCTCAACGTGTTAATTATCTAAGATTGCTGGGAAGAAGTATGGCAACGCTAATCCACGAGTTAAAGGTTTCTTTTATATTTGTTAAATGTTTTCCCGACTGTTTCTAATTTTTAATTTTACATATGTACTGTGTATCTCTTTCTCTCCCCCCGAGAAATATAAACTCTGTCGATATACATATTTATATTTTTTTAATTTAAGGATGAAAATTTACGGATGGAACATGAAGAGGATATTTATAGAAAAGTCTGTGACAGCAATTGGATCGGTTCTATAAGTGAAGATATCAGATCCTCCGTTTTTAATGTGTTATACGATCTCTTTCCCAAGGACGACATTGATTCCGAACATTGCCGTACGTTTAAATCGCAAATACAATTTGAATTACAAACTGTCATTATTAATCAAATTACAGATTGGAAAGAAAAAATTATTTTTGTGTAGATACCACATTGGATTGGTGGACAGTGTTGTTACAATTATTGGTTGATGATAATGTGAACATTCGATGCGAAGCGTCCAAAGTGATTTGCAAAATCGAGCCATGCAACGAATTGGAGTGTATCGAGAGAACCTTGCTGATATTTTTTCAGAAGTTCAATCAAATGATTGCAAACAAACATCCCGGAATTGCGATAAGCGCTCTTTTCTGTTGGAGTGTTTCGTTATTTGGTGATGAGAATTATGAAATGGATGAAACGGATGTAAGCAAAACCATGTGCGAGATAAAAAACAAAAACAAATTATGTCATGTGTGTTAAACTTATAATTGAATTGTTTATTGCTAGGTATTCAACAAATGTAGAAACTACGATGTCTTTGAACCTGTGAGAATATCGGAACTATGTTTCGATTTGACAAAATCGATAACACAACGATATTCCATTGATACCACGCTACCATCGGACGCTGTGAGATGGATGAATTATCGTTTAGATACCGATTTCTCTGAAGTATCGTCTTTTAAAGACATAGTACGTTCTTTTAAGAATAACGTACCGATACTTGAAACGAACCTGGACAAAATTTTAGATCCGACGTATAAAGACAAATTATTGCAAGTTTTAGCATACGAAAAATACTTGTCGTTATAATGGTAAGTATACTTTTTTACCACACACACATGTAACAAAACTAATTGTAATATATAAATGTAATAAAATTTACGCATTTATTATGTTAAAACCTGTACAAAAGAAATTAAATATATTTACACACAAATTTAAAAAAAGCATTTAAAAAAATTAAATACTCTTTTCAATTATTAAAAATTATTATTAACTAAAAATAATTATTTTGTCTACCGCACAGTTTATGTATGTACAAATACCTCTACAATATTGAAAATCAATTGTTTTGCTATTCAGTAACTTTGTTTCCATACTTCGAGAATCGCAATATCGTTCTTCGATAAATTTCAAATTGCATCAATATGGAACGCGCAGCGTTGGTGTACACAACACGTTGCGCGGTCACGACGAATTGCAAGCTTTATGTTTTTTATGTTTGTTTCTATTTAAAAACGTGTTTTGCGTAAAAATTATCGAAAATATTATCAAAATTACTTATTATTATTGACGATTTGCACGGTAATCGCGCGGTGAGATATAAAGTTGTTGCACATCTCTCTTTTCATGTATACAAAAATGTCATCTATAATTAATATAATGTCGTTATTATTAAAACTTATATTTTTACACGCGAGGAGCGCGTATAGTAGCGTGTATATTTTTATAAAATAATATATATATTTATAATCAAGAGATGTGAGAGAGAGAGAGAGAGAGAAAGTGTCGGAGCGTGTTAAATTTAGAGGAAAAGCTTTCCGCGGCAACCGCGTGACGTCGCCACTGAACTCGGCTCGCAGCGGCGATAGCCGAGTTCGGCCGAACGAAGCCGACTCGCACGCGTATTTCGCGACGCGACGTGCTGCCGTACGATCATCCGTCGTGTACCCGTTCGCATGTTTTTTCAATTTTTTGCGCCCACGCGTCGTGACCGTTTGTTTTTTGCACATGTCGATGTTCATTGTTCACGTCTAACTGGTGACAGCGCGTCGGCGCGCCTCCCGCCGGTTGTGAAAGTCCCGAAAACCAAAAGGCGCATATACCCTTTCCGCGTACTACACAACACGGTGTACGGTGCCCGTGGGTGCTGCGGCTGGTGCTCGACAGAAGGAGGAGGCATGGAGTGTGTTCAGTGTGCTCGTTTCAAATTGTCACGGGCCGTTACCTCAGCCCCGCTCGTAACAAGGTGAGTGAGTACGGTTTTTTTTTTTTTTTTTTTTTTAATCGGGTCGCGAGTTCAAGGGTTCTTCTCGCGAAAGTCGAGACAAAAAAAGAGCGAGAAAGAGCGAGAACCCGTCAACGAGAGACAGTTACATATATACATACAGAGGGAAAGAGACAACTTCCTATGCCGCCTTCCTATTCTAACCCCACTCTCCCCTTGCTCGTCGTTCGGTACCTGACCTACTTGCGCGGCGAGCTGTCATCCTACGGTCGGTACTATTCCTGCCCGCCGACCCTTCGCCGGCGCCTCGCCGATGTCCATCTGCGCTCCGCGCGACTTCCCCTGCGCGAATCTTCTCGCGGAAAAAAGGACGGCAGATCGTCACCGCGCGCGGAGAGTTGCGTGAAGGGTGGACGGAGAGTGGGGACAACGAGAGAGGGCTGCACGCGGGGACGGTGAGAGAAATACGGCGGTATGTAACATATACATATTTATACATATATATATATATATATATATGTATATACATATACAGTGAGCATAAGAGCGGAGGCAACACGACGGCGACGACGAGAGAGGAGAACGAGTTTGAGAACTGGCACCGCCGGTCGGTCGGTCGATCGTCGTCGCACCAGGTGATTCCCAAAACGCGTTATTTTCCAAACAGTGGAATGTGTTAAACAGAGTGCCGCGATCGGAGTAACGGCGCCTCCTCGATCGCTTCTGTCTCTTTCTTCTCGTCCCGCTATTATGCTTTCTCTCTTTCTCTCTCTTTCTCTCGATTCCTCAATCGTCTCAGCTTGTCGTTGCTCTTATATCCTCTCCTTCCGTTTCTCTCTTTCTCTCCTCCCTCTCTCTCTCTCTCTCTCTTCTCACTCTTTCTCTCGTGTCTTCTCTCCCTCGAGAAAGGTCATCGGTCTCGAATTCATCTTTTGTCCGCGCCTCGCGCGTTTTCTTTCTCTTTCTCTCGTTCGCTTTTCGTCCCTCTTTCTCATGACAAACTTCTCGGGTTTCTTTTAACGAACGTCTACGCGAGAAATTTACGAGCGCTTCGCGGAATCGAACGCGTCGCGCCGCGCCGCCGCGCGTCGTATCGACGTCACGCCGTCGGTGCGTCGCGACGTCGGTTTTCGCACTGATTGCACACCGTGAATCTTGGCACGGACCGGACAAACGGTTTCGCAACAGCTGATGTCAGACGTCGGATTCGTTAATATCAAGAGTAGATCTGAGATCAAGATTCGTGGCGGCGCGATTTTTTTTTTTGTTTTGTTTAATAGTAAACACGCGAGATCTTAATTCGAGATCTGTTTCATCGTGTTTCGAAACCGCGATGTGAAATGTGTCTTTTGATCGATCTGTTGTTTTGTTGCAACGAAAAATGAAAACAATTTATTTGTGTTATAATATATTTTGGAAGATAAAGCGTGCATGCAAAAAGTATACTCGGATAAAAACCTTGTTAACTTTTGATAACACGTAAAAACGCAAACGCGATCAATAACAAACTAATCATAGTCAAGTACGAAAACGGAACTGGAGCGCGCTTGTATAATCGTTTGAACATTGATGCGCGTAATATTACGTTACGTAATATTATCTGATTATTATCGGAGACGTGTGTGTGTGTGTTTTGTTTTACTTCGTACGAGAAAAAAAAAGCGTGTCTCTCAATGAAACTTTCGGAGCGCGGAAACGTTTCGCACGCAACGATCCGATATCAATGAGGTTCAAACACGCGCGAACATACTCCATCAACACACTTCGGTGTGTAAAGATATCAATTTCACACATGTAAACGTATATCTCGATGTGTTACCCACCGATATCGGTCGCCGTGTAGAAGAAAAGGATGTGTGTGTTGAATAGAGGAGGGAGGGGGGGGGGTGTGCAAACGCGACCCCGAGCCGAAATTTGTCGCCGACACACAATCGGCGGCATCGGAACGCTCTCATTCGCGTGGGAATCCACGTCTCTCGCGCGTACATACGTTTCACGTGCCGCCGGTCTATTTGTTTTGCCGCGCCTGCAGCGGTAACCCGCCCTCCCGGGCAGCGTTATTTCGACAATAACGTCGCGCGATCACGCGACCGACCGGACAGAAGAACGGCGTAATTTATGCAAAACGCGAACACGGCGCTCCGACCGGCCGGCCGGCCGCGGCCCACGGCTACCCGCTTGCTTCGTGACTGCCGCTAGTTACGCAATGACAAAACAGCGTTCCAACAACGGCAATTGACTGTCGTTACAGTTGTTGCAGCAGGTACGAAGGAGGTGGATTTTTCCGATCGCTTTTGTCCGTCGCGTTTGGCTAGGTTGTTTTACCGCTCGTAATTATCATCGGGAATGAGTATGGAGATGAATGTAGAGATACGTAAATGTTATTTAAATTAATTAGATTATATTCAGGTAGATTGAATTTGTCGTATTAAGAATATCCCGTTAAATAATTTAAATCAGAAGTAATTAATGCGCATGCATCTCTAACGAGCAGGTAGTTTCGCTTTATTGCGGCGATTTATACCACGTTCTTGCATATTAACATCTTGTACGCTCGCCTCATAAATACTGTCTCTCTGATTAAATTCGATGTGTGTGTATGTGTGTGATTGAGGGAATACGCGTGAAATTGACACTGGTTTGTTTTTTTCGCGAGAGTCGTTCGCTATTTCGTGAGAGTTCGCGCGGATTTTTGAAAAAGCGGGTGAATACTTTCGCAATCCGTCGATGAAAGTCTTCCTCGTATACCTAATCTCGGACGAGGCTTTACTTCTTTACGGAGAGTATGCTAGAGCGAACCCTCGGTGATATAAAGGGTGCCTATCCGTAAGAACCTCTGAGATTGCAGAGAGGGCTTCCGTCGCGCCTCGTATAACGCGGAAATCGTTCGAAAGTTAATTTGAAATTTATTCATGGACACCGCGAGGGGATCGTCGAGCATCGCTTGCATACGCGAGGTATCGCGTCCCTCGTTTATATGGATACTTTGACCGATCTGACCTTTTTTTTTCTTGGGGGAAAATTTCGAATGTACGCTTTTATTATTCGTTGTGAGGTTTCAAACTTTCGGTATTATACTTATTTTTGTATAAATATATAATTTAAAACTAAAATTTTCTATCGCGTTTTGACGTGTCTTGACGTAGAAATGAAAATTAATTTTAAATTGCATAACAATATCGTTAACATGTGAAAACAAAGTTTTTAATCAATCGAAAACGTTTTCTGTTGTCTAACCGACGTTTCTGTTTATTCTCTTTCCGTTGTTTGTTTCCTACACGGAAAAAGCTTCGGTTTTAATTACAGCGTATCTCGCATTGGTTTGTTCTGATTTACAAATCCAGATGAAAATGTTCAAAACCGCATAAATGTAATTACATAAAGAGACCGTCCGACAAATTAACTACAAGCTCGTGAGAGAGGAGATTCAGTGACCTCGCGGCTGTTTAAAGCTAATTCACAGCGTGTCACATATATGTCACATGTCACGACACGCGAGTCACGGACTCACGTTGCACGTTGAGTGACAGATCATCGCAAGAGAGAAAAAAAAAAGTTAATATTTGTAATCGCTTTACGTTTTTCGTGGCAATCTAATTTTCTCTGAATAATCCCTCTGTATGTATATATATATATAACATCGGCAACAAACTTGCGACTCTTCTGTGTAATTACGCAATGGAGACTTTGCAATCGGGGGTCAGAGGAAGACTGTCCAAGTAAATTTGTACGAAATTTCATGTTCTAAATTCAGTGCAATTTATATCTACACGTAATTAAACAAGAAAACGTGTTTACTCTTTTTACATAAAAATTATTTCAAAATAAATATTGTTGATATTTTTATTTATTCATTTATTTATTTTTGTAATATTTATATATTTTTTTTTTTATATTAAATTCTCAATTTATGTGCTCGTCATTCGCTTCCTGCGGCAGCTCACAAAGGCTGGAATTTTTCACGAGCAGACTCGTCGTCCGTAGTAATTGCAGAACGTGCGGGACGAACTGGTGCGCTCATCCACTCCCTCCATCCGGTTTTTCATTTGGCTCCTTTTAACGTCGACCTTAAAATAAACTTTGCAGCCCTGCGTGCCATCTTTCCGCGTCGCACTTTTCTTGTCCTCCTGAGTTTCTGTCGGCGAAACGTCGGAAACGGCGACAGACGGGCTTTGGCGCCGTATCTTGACAGAATAAAATATTCGTAATAAGGAAAGACGCACCCTACGTGAGAAGACTCCCGCAATTTTTTCCCGCGTATTTCAAATTAAATCGTTAGTTATGCAAATCGTTACTGGCGTTAAATAAAAAGTAAGCTGTTAAACTGAACTTCGCGACGTATAAGCATAACTATAAAAAGCGTATCTCGTTGTAGCACGCAAGACGTACGTGAAATACTCGGGTCACACGAGTAGACACGATGGAGATCACGATATATCCCTAACAGCAATTCACATAAAAAATAGGTATTTCTATCGTTCGGCAAAACCGTTTTTACGATATCGTCGTCCCACCGTACTTTATCACCGCGGACTCCCGTATCCATATATCTGATATTTTTTAAAAAAAAGAAAACTTTTCTATCTTCGCAGGTCGCAGCGCAAGGCCCGTGTCGCGATCGACGATGACCGTACGAGCGTGTGAGGTAACAAGATGGCGAGGATGAGCAGACCCTGCTCCCCGAGCGTCGGTATCGAGTCGATCCCTCGCAGGAAGAAACCGATAATCCCAGAAGGGAAGGAGCACGAACGCGGACTGCCGGATGCACTGAGAATCCTTCGGCAGAAGGAGGCAGAAGCAGGCGGGCAGCAGCAGGAGGTGGAGGCGTCGTAATAAAAAGCAACTTGACAACGACGAATCAACGACGTGCGAATCAGGACGATGGACGAGATACGTGGCTCGTCGTCGGCTCGCCGCCTCTCTCAGATCCTCGATCCTATCACGCGGCTCGCCAGCGACTTCGGCTCCAACTCGGCGCCGTGCAGCCCGCGACTGGGCACTCGTGCGCACGATGCAACGAGCGCTGGGTCCGCTGCTGCTGGTCAGTCAGGCCCAACAGCTCCCGGTGGCGTTTCGTCGTCATCACGCGCAGGCCCGAGCGGCGCCTCGACGATCGGCGGATCCAGTTCCGGGCCCGACAGTCCACGATTGTGGCCGCGACAGTTTCGACAGGCTCCGACGCCACCGCCACGGCCTAGACACGCAACCGCCACCGCAGTCACTACCGCCACTACTTCCACTAGCACTTCCACCTTCGTTAACATCAATAACAATAATAACAACAACAATAACGCGAGTAGCGGCGCCGAGAGCGGTTCGGTGCCGCCAACGATAGTGCACACGAGAGACTCGCCTTACGTCAACGTGTCGAATCTGTTCTTCCACAAGGACAAGAGTTTCGCCGAGAGCGCCCGGAGTGCTGGCTACATCGAGCTCCGCGAAAAACCAAAATGTAGCCCGTACGACTTCACGTCCGAGTCGAGCGGTCATGTGGAATACGCGGACAAGAGAACATTTGTCGCGCCGGTTCAATCGGATCTGGCCTACGATGTCAGCAAGGATCCCGGCGGACCACTCTGCAGAGGAAGGACGAACTACGATCCAGGACCGTCCAGCGGCAGAGGCCACTTCGATAGAACATTCTCGTTCGACAGAACATTCTCCGGCAGACAACCGTCAGAACAACCGCGGATGTACGAAACGAGCAGATTGTACGTCGATCCGAGAACCGCCGGTGGCAATGTCGACCTGAAGAGAGAGAAGTTGGACATCAGGCCTGCGTACAGCACCTCCAAGAGCTTCGACGGCTACACCACGACAGTGGAGGAACTCAACTGGCAGGAGAGGTGTCTGGAGCTGCAATTGGAATTACACAGGAGCAGAAGTCAGGCGACCAGAGTGAGAGACATGCTTCGAGAAAAAGTAAGTTATGTTTTTTCTCTGAGAATTAATTTTTCATCTTTACAAAGCTTTAAATTATTCCACTTTCATTAAATGTCAATAATGTGACGGGAAGAATACGATAAAAAAAAAAAAAAAAATACATCGCGTTTGTTTGTTGATATTAGCCATTTGTGTCGAGAACTAATTGGAATGTAATTAACAAATTGTCCATATTTATACGCGGTGTGACAAACGCGAGTTGATTTAAGAGAGGAATAATTCTTATTCAGAATTTCGCCCGCGTGTACGCGTGACATACGTTAAACAAATTACGCAAAACGTAAGTACATGGTGCAGGGGACCGAAATATATATCACGTCATCCGAATTAGTATGCACGGCCACGCGCGCCGATTTAACGCCGTCACTTCAGATAAGGCACATAGACGCATCGCGTTGTTCGCCGCCGCCGGCTTGTTCTTGACGCTGCGAAATCTATGCCGATCGTTTGACGCGAAACGAGCTTCCGCGGACGTCATTGCACGGTCATTACTTTGAAGAAATATATTCCGCGCTATTTTGATCTCTCATTTTATTTTGTACGTAGAGCGTACCGCGACTCTCATGTAAAAATTATCTCAGGTAGTCTTGCAAAATTTATTTTTATTTCTTTAACTTTCTTTTTTTTAGAACAAATGAAAAACTTAAACATTTAAAGAGAAATATTATTTTAAAATAAAAAGAAAATTTAGTTAAAACAAAAAAAAACAGACTTTGTCTGATATACGTAGTTGTTTTTTGCATAGAACGACTAGACACAGCAATTAACCTTTGCTTACTATCGATATTGTCTTTTTCAGTCATAAAAAAAATTTTGTTTTCGCTTTCCGGTTCGATCTTCCGATGTTCAGGTTTGTTTGTTCGTTAGGTGAATATGCGGCTTAACGCAAACAAACTGCAGCGCGGAAAAGATATGTGCACGGTGTGGATCGCGAAATGGACGTGTATGAAACGCACGTTGACGAGGATTCAACGTCAGGCCGGAAATTATACGTCCACCTCGACGGACACGCCGTAATATCGCTGACAGTTTTTTTTTTTTTTTTATTTTTTTTATACGAACTTTTCCACAATATGTACCACACCACGCACTCCGTGCGCGTCTGTCGTTCGCCCGCCGCGTTGTAACGCTGGTCGTTTTTATTTCTCACCGCCAGCAAAAAAGGTCGGGAACTAAACGACGAATCGACAAACCGTATCGCGGAAACGCGCGTCTGTATCGCAGCACGCGGATAGAATGGATGATATTATCCTTTTCCGCGCACTTTTTCATCGTTGCGCACAAGAGATTTTTACGTAGAATAGATGAAGTTTGCAACTTTTTTTTTTTCAAGTTCGAATATAAATATGACATATCGAAAGAAACTAATCTATCTAATGCATTTGGCAAAAAAGTTTTCTTTCATTTTGATACGTATCTATATATTTTTATTAAATATTTTTGTAATAATATTTTAAAGAAGAAGAGTCATATTTAAAATAAATTGCAATTCCAGTGATGTCAGAATTGCAATGATCTTGTTTTGCGAAAAACTTGGCTTTTGTCTTGGCTCTTGTCTTTATGACGTGTCTGACGTGCGCACATCCAATCTCGTTGTATTTCCTCTCGTAACGTATCCTCTCGCTGAAAGCAAATGCTGTTTATATTATCGAAGCGGGGAGCCGTGCCCCGAAACGCATGCAAGATTCAAGACGAAATCCTTGATGTATCTCGGGGGCTGCCTTCCGCACGAGAAGGATATCCCAAACGGATTTACGAGCGGACGCAATAGGTTTTCGTACTCTCGCACGCGATAATCTTGTTTTGAATAGTAAACGCTTCTTTAATTCAAAAGACGAAATGTTTAAAAACAACGCACACGAATCGCAAAGATTTATAAAACATGAACGTTTATAGAACATAATTGTTTTTAAAATTAAAGAAAAAAAAACAAGTCATGAAAATTTTGTTTGTGGAAAAACTCTACAACAGTCACTTTACAACGTAAGGTTTGTAATTTTTTCGAAGATATATAAAATTTTTTGTGGAAAGCATGAAAAAGATAGAAAAATATTTTTAATAAAAAAAAATATTTTTAATAAAAAAAAATATTTTTAATAAAAATATTTTTCTACCAACGCTTATTTTTTATTCTTACTTTGAAGATGATATATTTGTAAAAACTTTTCATGTTTCATTATTCATTCAGTGAGAGTATGAAACGGTATATCTGCATAAGCAAGGTTTGTTTAATACACACGGGCTTATCTTCTTTACCGCCAGCGGCACATTTTGCTTATCGTTTTCCAATGTGCACGTGGTTCAACGCGCGTGCGAACATGCATTCCGGAGGAACGCACGTACCGTGTTGTATTTACGGAGTAAATAGGCGAGAAAGATGTGTGCGTGTATATGTACACAGAATCAATTGTGGATTATAAATAACGGCTGCGCTGAACTGGCCGTGACGTCTCATTATCTAGACAAATATACAATACACATAATATGACGGAGAGGGAGGTATTGTTCGAATGTGCATTACTCTATTGAATTCCACATCCGAGCGACGCGTGTACATACTAGAAGCTATCACGCGTTCTGACGCATGCATAGTGTGTCCCGCATCTAACAAGTCGATCTTTCATTCATGTATTTTAGGACTGAGAGACAGAGCGATTTCAGAAGGAAATCGCTTACTGGTGAAACTCGAAGAAAGACTTTCAAAGATGCAATTTTTTTAATACAAAAACTCTTTCTAAAGTTAAAATTAAATATTTGTATTAAATATAATTATAAATTATAGATTTTTTATATAAAACTGTAAAACTTGTTTTTTTTTTTTTTTTTTTTTATTAAAAATTAGGAACAAAACATTTGTTGAGTAAAATTGCTAACGTAGATCAACATGAACAAAATGATTGTTAAGTTATGTAATTTTCTCTCGTGCGTGTGTGTGTACATGTGTTTTCGAGCCTTTAAACGTTTCTGCTTTTGATAGGATTTTTGTCAGTAAATAAAGATACTAAAATAGAGAATAATAAAGCTAAAGACGTAAATAAGATAGAATTCTTGAAAAATTTTGTTCCCCGAAAGATTTTTCTATTTTTAATCGCTTTGGAAACGGAAAATTATTATCGATTCTGAATTTCGTCGAGAAATAGAAAATAGAAAATGTAAATAGAAAATGTTTCCGTCTAGAACACCCTATACGTGCACATGTAAGCATTAATATTGATTCCTTGGGTGGCGTTAATGGAAGTCCTTGCGCCAATACAGACGCTATATACGAGCCGTCAAATGCCAATACGGATTTCAAAGGACGTCTGTCAACGTCCGTAACATTCGTAACAGTTGACTTTTCAATGCTCTTATTTCCACGTGTAAAAACTTAATGAACTATTTTAAGCGAGACAGAAACTCATTTGTTATAATCCGCAAATGGCCGGAGAACAGAGCGGCAGCTCTTGCTCTAAATTAAAGCAGCGGTTACGGCAATTGTGCAATGTGAAACACGAACGCCAAAAGCGTTTTATTGGTTTCAGGCGTTTTGTTTTTACCCGGCGCAGAAACAAGAGCGCACAGAATAGAAATCGCGTACCTGTTTTTATCTTGTAAATTAAAGACACACAGAGCATTGGAAAGCGCGTGCTTTTTTTTAAATATCTCTCGCGCGCTCGTACGTTAATGAAACCACCGCGAGAAATTAAAATACGGTGAAAAAACGGTAATTTCGTCATTCTTTCGTGGTAACGGAACATTTAATATCGGTTTATCATTAAAACGATTAAAAATTTATATTACATAACATTGATTACCGCTCTCTATCTTCTCTTTGCTGCTCGTGCGTGTGCTGGTTCTTGTGCTAATGAGTTTTCACGCTAATGAAGCCTCTCTCGGAGCCTTTGTATCGATTTTGCGTTACGCGTTGCAGATGAGAAAGGTTTTTCCTTCTTCCTTTATGGATGTATGTCCCTTTTGAGACACAGTTCCATCTTTTTTTTCATCTTCTTCCTCCCTTTCTCTCTCTTTCTCATGTACTTTTCTAAGCTTTTCCTTCATTTATTGATGTTTTCTCCTTTTGGGACGCGGTTGCCACTTTTTTCTAATCCTCGGTATCCCGTAGGAAACTTTAAAAAATTGACGGAGAGAGAACTGTCTAGCGCGGGAGAGAAAAACGCGCGATTGGGGCTGGGACAAATAAAGACAGATAGTCGACTCGTCTCTCTATCGATACAAACGACGGACGCATACGCCCGGAATCTCCCGGGAGAGAGAAACCTACGCGCGCGTAGTCAGACACCGGTTAACATTGCCGGTATGCGTGAAATATCCGCCATTATCTTGATTTGTGCGCGCCTACCTTGAGTGCGTACGCCATATTTCGACCGGTTAATTCGTCGAACGACTTGTGCACTGCTGCCTCTGAACAGTAGATACTACCTATACTCTTTAACTTTTTATCCTAATGGATTACTATTGATGGCTTTCGCACGTGCCGCTTCAGTATCAATGTAGTGCTAAAGCGATTGGTTCCTTTTAATCGGATTGAAGATAGTACATGTTTCGAATGTGAAAGAAATTACGTAATCAGATCATTGTTTAAAAATTATTTAAAAATAACTATTCAGTATTTAATTTTATATAAGAAAAAGACTTTTTTAAAACAATAATATAATTCGTATTTGTGTTATTATATATGTATATAAAAATAAGAGATTTTCGGTGTACCTTTGGAACTTCACGGTACAAAATTCAGAGCGCAAATTCGAGGTGCGTATTACAATCTCGAAAATCAGCATTGCAGCGTTTCTCATTCAGCGTATTGTTGCACCTGATTTCCTATTCTGGAACAGATCTCTAATCAACGTGATTCTACGGAGAAAATGATGTATTTAAGAGATATGACAATTTTGGTTCATTTATCGTGTTTATTATTCCCTTTGAATTTTTTATCGCCGACTCGTGACAATTCGCGAAAATAATTTAAAATGTTCCGCAAA